AGAAGGAAGGAGAAGAATAAAAGGTATTAGATAAAGTAGAGAGTAGAAGGAAGGAAAGAAGAAGAAAAGGTGTTGGGTAAAGTAGAGAGTAGAAGGAAGGAAAGAAGAATAAAAGGTGTTGGATAAAGTTGAAAGGAGAAGGAAGGAAAGAAGAATAAAAGGTATTAGATAAAGTAGAGAGGAGAAGGAAGGAAAGAAGAATAAAAGGTGTTGGATAAAGTAGAGAGGAGAAGGGAGGAGAAGAATAAAAGGTGTTGGATAAAGTAGAGAGTAGAAGGAAGGAAAGAAGAAGAAAAGGTGTTGGATAAAGTAGAGAGGAGAAGGAAGGAGAAGAATAAAAGGTGTTGGATAAAGTAGAGAGGAGAAGGAAGGAAAGAAGAATAAAAGGTGTTGGATAAAGTAGAAAGGAGAAGGAAGGAAAAAAGAATAAAAGGTATTAGATAAAGTAAAGAGTAGAAGAAAGGAAAGAAGAATAAAAAGTGTTGGATAAAGAAGAGAGGAGAAAGTAGAAAAAAAGAATAAAATGTTTTGGATAAAGTAGAAGGGATAAGGACGGAAGGAAAGAAGAATAATAAAGAGTTTGAATAAAGTAGGGAATAGAAGGTGTTGGACAAAATAGAACGGTTTGAAATATTTCTATTGTGAATAGTTTGATTGAAGGAGAACCCGTGCCCCCATGGTGCTCCAGGCTATTGAGAACCAGCAGGACTGTTGAGAGGACACGCCCCCTCCATCCTTTTCCACACGCCTACTTTGCCCTCTTTACCACACCGATATTAGTATTGTTCCGCGCCCCGATAGTCTGAAGTGTGGGCCCACACTCCTGGCTCTCCCAAACTCTTTGCACCACCACACTCATTGCACCCCACACTCTTTGCACCCCCACATTCCTTCCCCCACCAAAATTCTTGCACCACCATACTCCTTGCACCACAACACGCCTTGTCCCACCACACTCCTTGCACCATAAAACTTCTTGCCACACCACAATCCTTGCTCCACCTTGCCACACTCCTTGCCCGACCACAATCCTGGCTCCACCAGACTCCTTGCCCCTCCACACTCCTTGCCCCCCACACCAAACTCTAATCTTTCAGCTTGCTTCATGCTACATTCCTTCGTCATTTTTTCACTTATTCATCCGTGCAGCCTGCCCAGTAGGCTAGTAGTGAGTTAGTACTCATTTCTTTATTAATTTTTTATCATTTTGTGTCATCAAGGGTTATCTAGAGATGAAAGTAAACGCTGATATACCTGAAATTTCTTTTAATTCTCTTTAAAACTTGGACTGAGAACTGAGATATTTGAAATTAGATGAGAGTTCTGTCTTTTCCTCTCCTTTGATCCTATTATGTCCCTCCTGGTTCGAACTAGAACACAAACTAACTCCTGGTGTATTTTGTTTTCCTGTCCAGTTCAGAATTGGACATTGAGCTGAAGGTTTTACAGATGTTAAGTATGGAAGAACATCTACGTTCTTAAAACATGTAAAGTATCAAAGGCCAGGGACCTGATTTAATGAATTTAAGCTTGGTCTACAGACAGTTCAACCACGTCTCTTGAATCGCTGATTTAGGATTAGTCTATGCTAACTCAACAGCTACAGTAGGTAGTTTAGCGACCTAGCTCAAATTCATTAACTTCGCTTCCAGATATCCGACTGAACTCGATACAAAATATTCTTATTTGTTGGATAATTTGTAATTAAAATTCTAGGACGGAGAGACAAAGACGAATTGATCCATGAGACAGGTGTTGAACCTCTCGTGCATGAAGGAGGGTCAGACCACGCACTTGATACAGTTTAACCTGGATTGTTAAGGGAAGGAGGGGCAGGAGAGGGAAAGTGGGAGAAAGGGTATGGGGAGAAGGGGAAAGGGGATAAGGGGGAAAGGAGAGAATGGGAAGGGGGACCTTCTCCATCCCAACCCGGAGTAATCTAATTATGAAACTCGATAGTTTCAAGGTCTAGGTTGACAAAAAGACATTCCAACTCCAGGTTTTTCTGCTCAGCTTAATTGAGTTTAGACTGTTGGGTGGTGCTAATCTCTGAACCTGGATAAGGTTTAAAATCATCCATTACTGACTCTCAGTCTCTTACAGCGAGTCTCTCTATAAAAGAGGAAAGTTTCTCAATATTTCATTTTATTTGTTTCTTTATTCTAGAAAAATTTGTCGATTGATAACAAATTAAGAAATGCAAAGTTGGCAGTGGTTGTAGCAACCGTTTTATGAGAGTATTAAACTGAAATTTATTTCTAGAATGACATACAGGGTGTCCTAATATAAACGGGAATTAAGTGACGACTTCGAAATCGTCTTTTAAGAATTAGCATTGTAATAAATAATTCTAAAAAATCATAATAAAGTAATACAGTATATTTCGTGTATATGGTCAAGAACTGTTTTCTCAATTGCAAACAATCAAAGGATTACAGATTTCCGAGCTAGTAGTCATTAACATACTAAATCAAAAATAGTTTACTAGGACGATCTCGAAATCGACAATCAATTTCTATGTTTATTGGGCCACACTGTATCTGCTACTTTAGATTGAATGATAGTGATACTCCTACCTAAAACATATTTCAGCTAAATAAAGGCAAAGCAACTAGGTACTAGTTACTAGTTATTCTCTTAATGTTACCAGTTTTAACTTTTGTAATTGCTTGCAATCTCTTTCAGCCTGTACTTGTTACTGCTCCCCATACACTCAAATAACTCACTACTGATCTACAGCTATTATTTACATACTAGCTGCTCCCTACACTCATTTACTGCTTTCTACATTTATCTACTGTTCCTACACCCATCCAATGCTCCCTACACCCATTTACTGCTTCCTACACTTATCTTCTGATCCCTACTCCCATATACTGCTCACTACACCCATCTACTGCTCCCTACACCCTTTTACTGCTCCCTACACCCATATACTGCTTCCCACACTCATCTACTGCTCCCTACACCCATTTACTGCTTCCTACACTTATCTACTGTTCCCTACACCCATCTACTGCTCACTACACCCATCTACTGCTCCCTACACCCTTTTACTGCTCCCTACACCCATCTACTGCTTCCCACACTCATCTACTGTTCCCATAAACCCATTTACTGCTTCTTACACTTATCTACTGCTTCCTACACGCATCTTCTTCTCCCTACACCCATCTACTACTCCCTACACTCATCTACGGCTCCCTACACATTTTACTGCTTCCTACACCCTTTATTCTCCCTACACTAATCTACTGCTCCCTATACATTTTACTGCTTCCTACACCCTTTTTTGCTCTCTACACTAATCTACTGCTCCCTACACGAATTTACTTCTCCTTACACTGCTCTTCTGCTCCCTACACCCATCTACTGCTTCCTACGCTAATCTATTGCTTCTCCCAATACTAATCTACTTCTCCCTACGCCCATCTAATGCTCCCTACCTAATTTACTGCTCCTTACACTCCTCTACTGCTCTCTACACTCATCTACTGCTCCCTATATCCATCTACTGCTCCCTACACTAAGGTACTGTTGTTCTCTTCTACGTACCTAAATACTACTCCTGAACTAATGAAACTGCTCCCCCTCTAATATCCTGCCCCCCCTCCCCCTGCTACTAGCTGGGCTAGTTGGGTAGGTCAGCTCGCCTGGGTCAGGATACAGGGGAATACAGGACATCAAGAGGAAAGCTCAGTTTCACGGCTTCAGGCCCTGGAGCAGCACTGAGAAATCCACAAAAAGCCATTTTTAGAAAATTTAAAAAATAAAATTCCAAGAGGAAATATTTTTTGGACAAACCAGTTTTGATCAAACATTGCAGTAAAGATGGAAATTGATATCAATCAAAAATATTTGTTTAATTTGAAATGAAAAACCTTTGTTTTACTTTTCACTAAGAGAAATGTTTCTATTTTTTCTAAAACATGAAAGTGATGCAACCTAACCTTGCATACAAAATATACAATTAACGGATATAAAGAATTTAAAAGGAGCCTAACGAGCATTATTAGAATTTTTAGTATCTTTTTAGTGTAGTGAAGTTTAATCAATCGTTATTTTATATTGTAAGTATTTTCGAGGTTTCGTGAGATACTGTTTAAATATTTTCACACAGTTTTAGACTGAAAGTGACAGACAGACAACTGACAAGGCAAATTTATTAAAAAGATTTGATTCTTTCTTAATCTTTTTATATGCATATTCTATTCTATTCTATTCTATTCTATTCTATTCTATTCTATTCTATTCTATTTTATTCTATTCTATTCTATTCTATTCCATTCTATTCTATTCTATTCTATTCTATTTTATTCTACTCTATTCTATTCTATTCTATTCTATTCTATTCTATTCTATTCTATTCTATTCTATTCTATTTTATTCTATTCTATTCTATTCCATTCTATTCTATTCTATTCTATTCTATTTTATTCTACTCTATTCTATTCCATTCTATTCTATTCTATTCTATTCTATTCTATTCTATTCTATTCTATTCTATTCTATGCTATTCTATTCTATTATTCTATTCTATTCTATTCTATTCTATTCTATTCTATTCTATTCTATTCTATTCTATTCTATTCTATTCTATTCTATTCTATTCTATTCTATGAGTATATAATTACTATTGTCTGTATGTGGATTATAACCTGTTTTGTTATTGTTTCTTCATCTCTCTAGTCTGTTTAGAAAAACAACAAAGCTCTACATGAACTCAACAACATAAAAGGCCAATAGGCCGCAGGGGGAAAACATTTAACAGTGATATATCCCCCAAGGTGTGAAGTGGATGGGGGGGGATAAAGAAAATAGTCTAAATGAGGGAATATTTTGATTGATTGATTTATTGCTCTGATAAGGATGTTTGAAGTTAAAACAGATCCAAAAAAATGAAAACAGATTCTCTGCAGAGTTAGATAAAATATACTTTTTTGTTTTTTTTCCAGAGACAAATTAAAAATCATAAACATAAATTATCATTTTTCAGATTTGAAATATTGAAATAGTGAAAATATAACGAATAATTCACAGAAATGTGACAAAAAGTGAAAGATCGAAAGAAAAGACAAAATGACAGTAAACCAGAAGTTTCCTAGTTTTTTACAAATTGCATTTTTAATCTTACTCTCATCTAAATTGACAAGTTCTGCTCTACCTCCTGTCATAAAAATAGGTGATTCTTTATTCAAACCCTGCAGATATAATTGCTAGAAACATGATAACTACAAAAGCAGGGACTAAAAACAAAAGATGTATGAGGAGGGAAATCGTATTGTTTAGATCCATTCCACATTTTGTTAAGTGATTTCTTTTCTAATATTATTGTTTCGTGCAAAAATATGAGAAGTATTAAACCGATTTACAATACCGCTTTTTTACCATTTATCTGAGAAACAATTGCTTGAAAATAATATCTTGTTATGGAAACCCATCTCCTAGTTGCCTCTTTTCTTTTCTAATTTTTATACTAACAAAGAGTAAATCAAATAGATCACAAGTACAATAGGTGGCAACAGAGAAATTTACCTATTATACACGACGTCACAAGTGTCAAATATAACAAGGAAATTTTCTCAAATTAGTTGACATATTTTCCAAGATTAAATAAAAAAGTGTAAAAACAGAAACTAAAGAACACATAAAATTGCACTTATTTTACTGTAAGAAAAGCACTTTATTCTAAAATTATCAGTATTATTGATGATTTTGTCGGACACAAAAACTGAATTGACACTTGTGACGTCAGAATACAGCTGTACTGAGAGTGTACAAATTCTACGTTGCCATCTATTGTACTAGAATCTATTTGGAGTAAATTTATGTAAGAATTTAAAACAATGAAATCTCTTTCAAATTTTCTTTGATTCATTTTTAAGAACTTATTTTTTCTGTAGAGAATTCAGCAGCTAAAGGAACTGAGTTCTTGCCATAAACTCAAATCTACTAATCCCTACACTTTGCAACCTGATGGTGTGAACCTTTCATAGTACAGAATTCTATAGTTTGAAATATCAAAGGTCTACGACATCAGGTTGCATAGGGATTAAAAAATCAGAGTTTGTGTTAATAACTTATCAGGTCTCTTATTGATCTAACCCACTCCAAACTAAACAGAACGCTTTGTGACCTCGTAGCTCTATAGTTTTGAGTTTACGTGCATGTATGAGAAAGACAGATTTATCCTGTTCCATGTTAAAAAATTAAAAATTATTATTTTTTTCTTCAATAGCTCTTCAATGATAGGAATTATGATTGAAAACATAAAAGATTTCAGCCTTCTTACGTGAAATTTCCTCCAGCTAGTTTGACACATGTATCGCATAACCTAATCATTCTTTCATTTTTTCTACATTTAGCTGCACTGTTTGATGAGACTCATGGTAAATCTCAAGAGCTGGCGTTCCATCGAGCGGTCAAAATGGTCAACGACGACCGAACAATCCTCACCAGGTATACACCATTCACGTTTACGTTGAAAAATATTCAATGGTGAATGCTACTAATCCTACTTCTATCTGTTGTTGTTAAAAATGACTCGTACCGAATACAAATTCAGAAAGTTGCAATATTCAACTCGGATCGTAAAAATCAATTTAATTTCAAACAAATCATTTAGATATTACAACCTATAATCATCGATAAACGGTTCACTTTTAACTTTTGACTATTATCCACGTCAAAGAACCACGTATTGTTATCCCTAAAATTGTTTTAAAATGCCAAAAAATTGAAGTGTACACCAATGTGTAATGTGAAATCAACGCATCTGACTTTACCTTTATCTTTCGAAAACCCCAAATATTTAATTTTCAACGCGGTTTTCGTAAGTTTAAATGAAAATATTTCTGCTACTTCTGGAAAGTAAATATTAAAACAGCTTGCAAACTAAGTCATCAAAATTACAAGCGTTTCTTTAGTATGATTAAGGATAAGTCCGTAATCCTTGATGAGTCACAGATTTCAAGGGTACTGTTGTGAATCGGACATGCTACTCTACACATGTAGGGTCACTTGAAACTTTACAGTCCCTCCCCTTTAAATATTCAAATATAACTAAATCTTTTAGCTTAATTTTAACAATTCGGTTTAAAGATTATGAAAGGAATTGAGTCTCTGCCACAAACTCTGATTTTCTAATCCCTGTATCTTTGCGACCTGATGTCGTAGACCTTCGATATTTCAAACTATGAATTCTGTTACGAAATCAAATAATCAAAGTTTGAAATATTAAAGGTTTACACAATCAAGTTGTAAATATATAGAGATTATAAATTTTGAGTTTGTGGCAAAGACTAAATTCCTTTATAGAGCTCTGAATAAATCCGGTTTTCTATACTTTAAACGTCACAGATTTTTTACTTTGAACATGCATTAAACATTTATTAATGCGTATTTCTGAATATAAACTCTCCGTCTCTTCTTGAATTAGAAACGAAGAATTTCATATTTGCTGATTTACTCTGCTAGCTTTGCAGCAAAAACTGTAAATTGGCTTCAACGTCAACAGCTTACTAAACATTGAGGGGGGGATGGGGTCTAGGAAGGGGGGGGTGTCCTGAAAACAAGGGTAATATCCTACAGGTAAAACATGAGAAAGTCCGAAGTGAGAAGACAAGTTTAAAATATGTCTCGTTCAACTTTCTTCTCTGAAATAGTATTATCTTTCTTCGTAATATTTGAAGAGAATTCACTTAAAGGGATCGTTCAGAAAATTATAATTTACTCTTTAATACACAAACAAACGAGAGTCAATATAAACGACGCACACAACCTTTTCTTTATAAATCTACAAATATACACTTTTGATAAAACATATAATCAGGACTACCTGAAAACTAAATTTCTTATCTAAGAAAGTTAGTTAACAGTTGAAAACTTGAATATTCCACATATTATTCCCCTAGAAATGTTTTCAATCTCCATCTTGAAGATGATTCCTGGAAATATGTCTGATGTAAATGCTAGATGAGTCAACTCACAGAAATACGCAAATTCAAACCCTTAAAAAATATTTTAGAATTCAAATAATTTCTTCAAATTTTTATGAATTAAAATTTTTTGGGGGGTGGGGGATGGGGGAGGAAGGATCAAAACGCCTTTCAAATTATTAAAAAAGGTTAGTTTTATGCTCCGACTGAATTTAAATTTTACATTTTCATCTTGTGCCATGATTTTATGCATTTTTTTATAAAGTTGAGGACGGAGAGATTTTAAAATTTGAAATAATTTGAATGAACTTAATCAAATACTTGTAGATCCCTGGTATCCCCGGATATAGGTAACTATCCCTGGGATGATAGTTTTAAAGCCAGCAAGAAGCTGTGTGAGCTAATTATGCCAGGAGTAGCAGCAATATTTGGTCCTACTTCTCCCACAGCATCTAATCATGTTCAGGTACACTTTAAAGTCATGTTGAGGTATACTTTCTTGTCATGTCCGGGTACACTTTCTAATCATGTACAGGTACACTTTCTAGTTATATTTACGTACACTTTTTATTCATGTTCAGATACAATTTCTAGTCGTGCTTATGTACACTTTCTAGTCATGTTCAGTTACACTTTCTAGTTATGTTCAGGTACAGTTTCTAGTCTTGTTCAGGTACACTTTCTAGTCATGTTCAGGTACACTTTCTAGTCATGTTCGGGTACGCTTTCTAGTCAGGTTTAGGTAAACTTTCTAGCCATATACAGAGCTGAAAACTTTAGAATGGTGGATATCGGGATTAGGGCTTAATCCACTCTTTTTCTTAATATCCAGATTAAATATTGCTTGTTCTCCTCTCATTCTTAATCTCCAGATTAGTTATCCGATCAGGATTAAGGATATCCCATTCTAAAGTTTTTAGCTCAGGTACACTTTCTAGTTATGCTCAGGAATAGTTTCTAATTATGTTCAGGTATAGTTTCTAGTTATGTTCAGGTACAGTTTCTAGTTATGTTCAGGTACATTTTCTAGTTATGTTCAGGTTTATTTACTAATTATGTTCAGGCCGGTTACTTTTCTTGTCTTGTTATTTACTAAGTAAATTAAGTTGTCTATTTAAGGTTTGGTACAGTTTTTTTTTTCATGTAGGCCATTGGATAATGTTTTGATTATTTATTTCTATATTTGTTTTCAATATATTTTAGTCTGTATCTGATGCTTTACACCTACCCTTCCTGGAGACAAGATGGGATTATGATTTTCAAAGATCTCCTTTTAGGAACATTACTTTATTTATTTTTATTTTTAATAATCTGTTGCGTTTTTAAGAAAATGTAAATATCAACATTCTCACTATAGGACAGTGACAAAGTAATAACCATTTAGTTAGATTTATATGAAAATATTCAAGTGAAATTCGATGTTTTAAGAAACTGTCTTCACAGTTTTAAGCGACCCTCCAATTAAATGTCCGATTTACAACGGTACCGTTGGAACCTTCATGTGATCAATATTGTGGAAGATAATATCGTTTTTTCTGAAAAGTGTTTAGTTCTGTTAATTTTTCAATCCTTTCTAAATCAAGAAATCACGCATGTTCAGAAACCACAAATGAGTAAAAAAAAACAGTTTTCAAAACCAAAACCTCAGATATACATAATTCAAAGTTGCTCAGACACAGCTTTTAATGGTACCATTGTAAATCTAACTTGCTTCTCTGACAATGGAGGACACTTGTAATTAATTTGACAGTCCCTTCTACAAGGTCGAAATATATCTTTTGTCCATTTTCGATATTTCGAATATACAATCATAACAATTTGCTACTGAGAAGAAAAAACCCAGAAACAAACAATGTTTTTTTCATATGAAATAAACCTGGACGAGACAGAGGTTGTAAAGTCAGACTGTTAACTCCATTTGGAAATAAATAAATGAATGAATGAAACCTACATCTCCAAAAATTTTGTATTGAAATGACGATTAAATAAATAATGTTCAGCATAAATGTGCATCCTCATCCTTCTATGCTGGGAAAAGCATACGCTGATTTTGTACACATTGTAAGTTATCATTATTATTATAATGTTATCCTCATTGTTATTATAATTATTATTATTGTAAATATTTCAATTATTAGGTTGATTGGAAATCATTTGTAATCCTATATGAATCTGAGGAAGGACTGGTTCGGCTCCAGGAGCTGATTAAACTACCCAAAACCTTCTCCGATATCAGGGTTAGTAAGTTCTTCGTCAAATTGAATATCTATATGAAAAAATTGAATTCAATCAAAATTTTGCTCTAAAAAACAAACTTAAGAACATTCTTTGTAAAATTGTTTTCAACACTTCCTTGATGAGCAAAAAAAAATATAATTTAATATTTTGTCCAGGTTACTCTCCGACAGCTTCCCCATGGAACTACGGACTACAGACCCCTGCTCAAGGAGATAAAGAAGTCCGAGGAAACTAAAATAGTTCTAGACTGTTCCTTTGACAATCTAGAGAGAATACTTAGGAATGTCGTCTTCTCATTAATAAGAAAAAATGTTTAGCTTTTTATTGATCCGCAAAATTATAATTAAACATTACCTCTTGTCTTGCAACAGGAATACCTATTGTTTTCAGTTTCTTTGATAATTCTTTTAGATAAAACTATGATTTTCTAATTCCTATACATTTTCAACCCAACGTCGATCGTAGACCTTCGATATTTTAAACTATAAAGTCTTTTAGATAAATTAATCTATGCTTGCAACATTAAATCTTTACACCATCAGGTTGCAAAGATACAGGGATTAAAAAGTTTGGGTTTGTGTCACAGATTCAATTCCTGTATTATATATATAATGAGGAATGTTCGGAGTGCAGTCAAGCTAACGAGCTCCACCTGTTGACAGATTACCACAGCTACCTTGTCACCAGTCTTGACGTAGACAAGATAAACCTCTCTCCATATACAAACCAGAACGTTAATATTTCAGGTCAGGACTCATTCCCTTTGGATATCCAATGGTCGCATTCAATGGCAATAGGTAGGGTTAGCTAAAATTGAGAGATCAAACACGTAATTCTGAAACTTAATAGCTGACACAGTGTATGTATATATCAACCATTGTAGATTAGCGGTTTGACCTCAGGTTACATAGAATGTGTGTACCGGATTTCGATCAGGCTTAAGTCGGGTCCAAATATTAGTCATGTACGGAACGGTAAAACCTGGGCAGGTGGTTGTACAATGTCCATGCAAGAATAGGTTCGATATGTATTTATCAACATCAAATAACGATATTCTGTGCACCGCATGCGTGCTTTTGCGTAACGTAAGCTATAAAAAAATCAATAAAATCCATAGCTTTCCAGCCTATTAACACATCCTTTTATACAAATGCTCAACCTTCAGCCTCAAAGTTGCCAGACCTTTTCTTGTATCTGCAATCTACATATTTCTTTCTCAAATTTTACATTTTCTTGATCTTACACCTTTAATTTAATCAAAACTGAAGAAGACAAAAATGCATTCTATTTACATTAAGTTACATAAGTATTTAATGAAGATTGTATTTCAATTATTTTGTTCAAACCGAACTAACAGATGTCTTTGGTAGCTTCACTTCTTAGATTTTTTTGAAATATGGTCTCAAATGCATGAACATTCTCTTTAATTATTTTTTTTTGCGAATAAGAAAATTACTTTACTTTTTTTTGTTATTTTTTATAAAACTGCATTATTTTTAAAACGTCTTGAATAGGTTGTAAAAAATCTGTCTTTTAGATAATATTTAAATACTAGCTTTAGAGGGCGCTTCGTGCTCATCTTCTAAATTATAATTGTGAACATGTTCTCTTTGTGTACATCGTAAAACAAAACAAAAATAATTCGCGGATTTTCACAAAAAATTTCGTGGATTTTCAAAATTTTCAAAAATTTAATGAAGATTGAATTTTAATGGAGACAAATATTTGAAATTTTGATCATTCATAAACCTCCCCTGGGGTCCCTAGATGTCACACAAAAAATTTGGGCCCGATCGGTTCAGCCGTTTTGACGTTTATTGGATACAAACAAACAGACAAACAAACACCCAGACAATTTATATATATATATAGAAGAAGCTTTTAAAATTTATGTTCAGGGTTTAGTTTGACTGCGTCTGGAACGCGCGCAATAGAGAGTTACCTGAAGGAGTTCCCCAACACAGGACGCGGCAAAGAACACATGCTCTTCTCGGAGAACGCGCTTGTTTACGACGCCGTGTGGACCTTCGCTAAGGCGCTGAACGACCTAGACTCCCTGCAGTCTATCCAGCTGGAGCCCTTGTCCTGCGAGCAGCCTGGTCCCTGGGCAGACGGAGAGAAGGTTCTCAGCTATCTGAAGGAGGTGGATCATCTCGGACTAACAGGGGAAATCAAGTTTGACGCGGACGGATACAGAACTGATTTTCAGCTGGAACTTATGGAGAAAATGAGGTAAGGTTCTTATACATAATAACATTGTAAAAATCAAATTTAATTTCCAAATGGAGTTTAGTGATAAACCAGAAATACAAATTGACCGGAACTGTTTTCATTTCTATTATTTTGCAACGACGAAAATCTGATAATCTGATACTGATCCCAAAATGCAGTAGAAAATCTGATAATCTGATACTGCCCCCAGAATGCAGTAGAAAATCTGATACTGACCCCAGAATGCAGTAGAAAATCTGATAATCTGATACTGCCCCCAGAATGCAGTAGAAAATCTGATACTGACCCCAGAATGCAGTAGAAAATCTGATAATCTGATACTGCCCCCAGAATGCAATAGAAAATCAGTGTCAACTTTAGAATAAAATAGTACCAACTACCAACGGGTACATAATTTAATAAAATTTCCTAATATGTCAAACCATTTTGTTTTTGTAAACAATCCCGGCCTTTAGACATCATAAAGGAGGGATTCTTCGGTCGTTGTTCCAGTTGCTCAGTTGTTAGCGCCCTGTTAAATGTTAATTTAATCTAAATAAATCAACAGAAGTTCAAAGAATTTAAAAAACTTTTTTCTAAAATAATTGGTATTTTAATTATTGTTTCATCTGAATATTTTAAGATCTCGGACAAAGAAGACCGGTATCTGGACTGCTCAGGGTGGTGTAAACTACACGCTGACCGCTACAGAGATAGAAGGACAAATGGTTGAAAAGCTTCAGAACAAAACCCTTAAGATCACAACTGCACTGGTGAGTAAATATTTGGCAAATATACAAACATCTTGAAATCAAAAATAGAAAAAGTGTTGATTTTTTTCTCATACCCCATTTAATAAACGCTGGCATATACACTCGAGTTTACCGAGACTCAATTTTCAGCTTTAAAAAATCGGATATCCCCGTCATTCTTTAGAGGACAAGTGTTTGTTGGGTACCGTTGTGACCCACTACATTGTAGGAACCCTTGAAACAATGTATACTGATCCTATTAGCTTTGTTCATTTATCACAATTTATATTTAAGACCGAGCCATTTGTAATCGAGCGAATATTCGACTACCCAGTCTCTCCGGAGGCCAAGGAGAGAATGTCCTTCGAGGAGAGGTTCGAGGGATTCTGTGTAGACCTCATAAAGGTACAAACACATAATGGTGGCCTTGGAGAGGCTTTTTGACAAACTTTGAATAGTAAAGAGACAAAACTGTAAAATAGATTCTTTAGAAAAATAGAACTTGTTTAATGAGATTGTTTGAGCCACAGTATAGTAACTGATTACGTACACAGTCTCTATTTTTTTTTTATTTGCAACCTGATGTTGTAAACCTCTTATATTTCAAACAATTAATTCTGTTAGATCAACTTATTAAAGTTTTAAATATCATGGGTAAACACCATCAGGATGCAGATAAATACGGATTAGAAAATAAAGATCTCAATTCCTTGAAGTACACAAATGTAGATATTAAGGATATTTTTGCAGTTAAATTTTCAACGGGATTTCCAGTGTTTTCTTGTTTAGGAATTATCCAAAGAAGTGAAGTTTAAATATAAGTTTCAACTTGAACCCTCCGGATCCTACGGTTCATTCAAGAACGGTAAATGGACTGGTATGATTGCTGAGCTCAGGTCCCAGCAGGCCGATATGGCAGCTATAGATATGTCAATTACATCAATACGACAGAGAGCTGTAGACTTTACCATGCCCTTCATGAATACAGGTTAATAATTTTAGCCTTTAAAAATACAGTAAGCGTAATTTCAAGTGACCCCCCATGCAAAGATGACAATGCCCGATTAACAACTTTACACTGCTTTGTCTGATCAAGTATAAATTAAATATTTATGTTTTTTTTTCTTTAAATTGTTTATTTTTATTCACGTATTCTCTGCGAAAATTGCCTTGACATGAGCATTTCTTGCTTATAAGAAGCATTTGATAAATTATAAAAATGAAATACTTTTCGAGTAAAAAAACGACGATATCTTCCACATTTTTGATCAGATTTCGCCTTCAAGGGAATTGCCATCTTTGCATGGAGAATCACTTGAAATTACGCGTACAGTCCCTTTAAGGAAGATAATTTTCTGATAATTTTTGTTATTTTTTCAACAAGACCTCAACTATAAATTAGTAATGGTTCAGTATAATTTGATTAAATCTAAGTTTATTTTCCTAAATCTATTAAAAGTTTAATATATTTGATTTTATTATTTACAAAATAAATTGTTTTTATGCTAAGCTATTTGATTCTGTTTTTATGTACATTGTTCAATTGTAAATCTACATAATAAAAAAGACATTCGTATATATATATATATATATATCGGCCGGCCAAACGGCTGGACCGATTAGGCTGAAATTTTTGCGGACACTCATATTATAGGCTAAAAAAAATTTAAATATTTTTTCTTATTTTTTTCCACGGGCAATGCCGGGCCCTCCAGCTATAAATGTTCAGTTAGCAAGCTTTAATCATCACTAGTTTACAAACTTTATCCTCTACAGGCTGGGACAATATTGTTTTCACGGGTTTACAAACCCTGGTGCTTAAAACCTGACAGTTTTCTTCGACATTAGTTTTACATTGGTTCGGAACAAGTTGACAAACTTTCTTCTGTGTCTCTGAGCAGCTAAGTTGAGGAGCTGAGCAAACCTGAACCTCAACTGGAGAACAGGATAAATCTTCAACTTGGTGTGGAACCTTGATTTCAACCTTTTTACAGACCTTTCTCTGGGTACATTGTTTACATGGTGGACTTGTAATATTTTTACATTTTTCAATAGTCTTTTCCTTACACACCATCATGGATATATCATTTCTGCAAGTTTTGATTGGAACAATGTGACAAGTCTCAATTGGTTTAAGAGTAGCTCTAGGTATAGGTTTACATACTTGTTTTAGTTTACAACTATTCTCCTTTATGTCCCGACATTGAACTTCAGTATTTACTGGAGTAGGTAGTGTAGAAGGTTCCGTTGTTGATTGGGTAGTTTTTCTAGTTGTAGGTGATATAGTTGTTAGAGTAGTCGAAGAACTTGAGGTTGATGTAGTTGAAGATGTGCTGGAGGTGGACTGAGTAGTTGTAGTGCTTGGAGATGTTGGACCCTCACAAACCATCTCATTTTTGCACGATTTTACAGGTCTTGTTAAACAATAAACCTTTCGTTCAACACAATCCTGAGCTGGGACGGATCTACAGGATGAACCTCCTCCCCACCGTCCTCGTGGAGATGTACATACTGTTCTAGGAGCCTGGGCACAGGTTCGAACAATATCTGGAGTAGTCTTACAGCTCTTCGTCAGTTTAGTTCTGCAGATCAGTTCAGTTCTGCAGTTTGTATACGCGGATCTTTTTATTCTAAGACCTGGATCAGGTTCACAAACCGTCCTGAATACATCGGTACAAACCTTCTCCTTGTAGCAAGTTTCAGAGGGTTCTGGTTCATCCGTAACTTTTTCACTACAAACTTTTTTCAATTTAATTTGACAAATTGTAGTTTTTTCCTCGTCACAAACTTGCTCTGTTGAGTTATGACAAACCTTATCCATCTTGCAGTCTAGATTATCAATACACTCCGGTATTAGGTTGCACTCCTCTCTTGTTTCTGATTTTTCCTCTATTTTTGTTACAATTTGGCATTTATCCGTCATCTCCGTCCTGCAAACTGGTTTCAGTTCTCCAGGTTCACAGGTTTTAACAGGGATAAAAGAACACTGCTCCGTGTACCCCACTGTACAGTTCTCCAGGGATGTTTCTGCACACACCTCCTGGGGTACATTCTCGCAAACTTCTTCAATCTTCTCTCCGTAAGGTTGAGATTTCGTTACGAACTCACACTGCATACTCGGAACCTCAGGGCAGACATCAGGGACAGAGTAGGATAGAGCAGGAATCAAGATTAGAATCTGAATAGATTAATTTCGTATTTATTTGGCAAATCTCCATATACTAAACATCAAGACATTAAAAACAAGATATTAGACTGAGAAAAAATGATTCGTAAGAATATTTAAGAAAAGTGTTCCTCAAAGAAAATAAAAGTCTTACCAAGGATAAAAAAGAATGGCTCAGGAAAATTTTCATTACAATAGACTTAGAAACCTTACTTTGAACAGATTTATCCTCTCTATAATGTTTACAAAAAAGGCGATTAAAACAAACTTAGAATTTCTCAGATTTTAATGAAAAATAAAAACATTAAAATGTTAAAAATCAGATACTGAAGATTTAGAATAATTCAAACCTGATAGGTCATCCACGGGATGTAAGTTAGTCCCATGATTAGAAATAATATTAGATTGTCCCTTATGCCTTATGAGATCGTATTCGGGTTAAGCTAAACTGATTTGATCTTAACACCCGGTTGTAGGTGTTATACCGATCCTTCGTTATGTGCACTTACAGGTATTGTACCGACACGCCAAGTCTGTGGCGGTGCGGTGCTAGTCTAGCGGTCAAATCTCCAGTGAAAACGCAATATGTTGTAGAAAGATTACCCCCCCCACCCCCCTAGATTTATAACGAATCCATATATAATCTCTAGGTGTTGGTATCCTGTATATACAGTGGTAGACGATTATATGAATATAATGAAGACGATTTTTTTATTTCAGTTTTAATTGTTAATAAGCTTTTTTCGAATTACAAGTTTACAAGTAATTAAAGAGAACCTTTTTAAATTGACAGATTCTCTTTGTTTTAATGTTTCTGTGTATCCATGCTGCTTAAAGCTTAATGTAAATCAAAATTGAAATAGAAAGTCGTCTTCATTATAGTGATATAATTGCCTACCACCGCATAAAGTAGTAATCTCTGTTTGTTTGGATGTCCGATCATGACTCTGGAACCCCTGGACCGATTTGCCTAAAATTTCGATAGGGAAACTCGGGTGAATCACGGGAATGTGCTTAGCTTGGTTTTCAGATTCTATATTGAGTGTGTCTGTAGCAAAAATTGTAATGTAAGACCAAGTGTGGGTAAACGGTGGGAGTAACAATTTAGTCCTATATTATCTCTAGGTGTTGGCATCCTATATAAGAAGAAGAAACCTCCTGCTCCGAACCTATTCTCCTTCTTATCTCCTCTATCCCTGGATGTATGGATCTACATGACTACAGCCTATCTAGGGGTCTCAATACTCATGTTCTTACTGGCCAGGTAGATAATCTTACATTCATTTACATACATTCATTTTTATCTATTTATCCATTCATTTACTCATCCTTCCACTTGGAATTAATTTATCGATGTTTTGTTTAGTCTTTTTGAATTGCAAGAAAAATAAAGTTTATCAAAAACCCCACATTTAAAAGAAGATTTTTTTTAATGAAATCGATATAAATGCTAGAGGTTTAACGAAAAAAGATGAGACTTTAATACTAAAAACTCTTTGAATTGACGATTTAAAAGTGAAATTTGTAAAATTTTAAATGTAAAAAGACTGGGAAAAAACTACACCTCATCTTTTGTGGGGTAACCCTGATGATTAAATAAAATTAAGTCTTAATTTTAAAGATTTTATAATTATCACATTATTATATTATATTTTATAATGATCACATTATTAAATTATATTTCATAATGATCACATTATTAAATTATATTTTTTAATGATCACATTATTAAATTATATTTTTTAATGATCACATTATTAAATTACATTTTTTAATGATCACATTATTAAATTATATTTTGGATTTACAGTGAACTTAGGTGGATTGCAAGTTGCAGTTTGGAATGCACCTAAAGCAGTTTTTAACTGTTAAACCTGACCTTTAATTATTCGGCTTGGATTTAAATTAGATTTTACATTATAAGGAAATAAGTAAATCGTGGATGATGTTACTTCCGATAGACTTTACTAAGAATTTTACATATTCAAGGTTTCTGTTAATATCTAATATTTGTATCTTTACAACGCAATGTTGTGGACCTTGGATATTTCAAACTGAATTCAACTAACCTAAGTTTTAAATACAAAAGATTTACACCATCATGTTTCAAAGATATGGGGATTAGAAAATTTAAGTTTGTGGCAAACACTCAATTAATCACTGTATGTCAATATGATTAGATATTTTTTTTTGATAATTTGATAAATTGAAAAACACGCAGTAGAATCAAGAAAGTTTGAATAGAAAAAATGCAAAGACATGTCTTTGCAGATTCTTGTTTTATCCTTATTCTGATTTTTTAGTATCCCTTGAATATGAAAAATCTCAAAAGTAGTCTTTCGGAGTTTACTTCCTTTCAAAAGAGTGATTATTTTTTACCAAGATTTCTTTCTTTAACTTTTGCCCTTATTTGGATTGTTTAGCAACCATAAAGGAACTATTACTCAACTCAAACTCTAATTTTCGAATTCTTTTATCTTTACGCACTGATATCATGATGTAGATCCTTGATATTTTAAACTATGAATTCTGCTAGTTCAAATAGACAAATTTTGAAGCATCAAGATGCAAACACTATCAGGATGCCAACAAATAAGAAATAGAAAATTAGAGTTGGTGGCAAGTAATCAGTTCCTTTGTATTTACATCTAATATTTCAGCACCAACTTATTAAAATGGTTTCGAAATAAATAAATTCAAATTAAATTTTGTTTAAAAATTATTCTGAAAGAACCCTTGATTAAACATATGTTAAACCTCATTGAAAAAAAACAAACTAAATCTTTTCTCTTTGCAATGTTATTTGAGTTAGAAGCTTTTTCAAGTTTTTTTTTAACTTAAACACTTCATTTTTCCCTTAGAAAAATTAAATATTTTTGAATGGGTCTACTGACAGATGGTCAAATTGAATGGGTTAGAAAATCAAAGGGAGACATATTTTCTTTTGATATATTCGGCTCTTGGGGATCAAGTAAGGATCCGAAGAACCTTTGAATTTCAGAATCAGTCCGTATGAATGGAACGAGAGTGGGGAACGTGAACTATCAAACAACTTTAATATATCTAATGCCCTTTGGTTCGGTATTGGCTCCTTTCTATGCCAGGGTTGTGATATTCTGCCCAAGTGAGTCAGGAACCAAGATGCCTCCCCTTCCACCCCTTTATATATTGCAAACAACTGGCTTTTAGTTACCCTAAGCTTTTCCCAGTATACATTCACATTCTCACCCTTCATCCAACTCTGTAGCAAATGTATTGAATGTGGATGGATGTTTGGGAAGAGCTATGGATGAAAACACCAAACCTTGCTGAGTCAACTAATCCGCCCTTGTGAGCCCAGGTTTCCAGGTTTGGTTCTTGTTTCAGACTGACTCCTTATGAGTGGGAGAACCCTCATCCATGTGTGGATGAACCTGACGAACTAGAGAACGTGCTCACCCTGCATAACTGTTTCTGGCATAATTGGGGCAGTCTCATGCAGCAAGGGTCGGATATAGCTCCTAAGTACGTAATATTTCCCGGCACAGTGGGGCAGGGGCAGGGGTTAGAAGAGGACCACTGCTTGTACCGTCACGCCATGTTAAAAATTATGTACACTGTACCGTGCATACTGTACAGTTTTCAAAATATTTTTCAGAACAGATTGAATGTGATACATTTACATATATTTTAATTTTGGGTTCTTGAGTGGAATTCCTGCATGAAATACTTTATAACATGGCGAGGAGGTTGGAAAGCGCCAACAATTTTCTAGGTCTGCCATACCAAGTGATTTGCCAATTTTCAATTGCACAAAGGAATTGAGTCTTTGGAACAAAATCAAATATTTAAACTTCAATATCTTTAGAACTCGATGTTGTAAACCTTTAATATTTCAAACTCAGATTATTTGATCTAACAAAATTCATAGTTTGAAATATCTAAGGTCTGCAACATTTGGTTCCAAAGATATAGTGATTAGAAAATTTGAGTTTGAGGCAAAGACCCAATTCATTAGAAGGCTAATTTGAAAGGCGTTCTTTAAAATGTTAGTTATAGATTTTTTCACCATCATGTCTAATATCGTGTGCTTTTAAATCTATCAGAAATAAGGCGACATTTATATTTCCTGTTTGACAATGTGTTACTCGTCTGCAAAGAAGTCACATGATATGGTAGACCATCACACTCTTCTCTCTGTACGGCAGGACTACTAGCAGTGGTCTGTTTGCTTCTAGTTCTAACCCTTGTGTTTGGGGCACTATTCAGGGTTCTTATCCTTTAGTTTATCCATCTCTGCCTCTCTGTCTAAACCTACAGGGCATTAGAATGTTGTTGTGTGTAACTAAACCTTAAATATTGACCCAGATGTGTTCCACTAAGTTGCCAAACCTTCAATACCTTCAATACAGCACTATTGGTGCAGAAATCAAGTCCATAAAACCATTCTAATGCTCTGGGCTATCTCTGAGTTATCTATTGGATAACCAGAGTTCCCATGGGAACTCGGTTCTGAAAACACTTTTTTGAACACATCTCCTTGTCCCAATGTAGAATTTGAAACACTCTCCACAAGTAGTTCGGTTGCACCTTTATAGTCATATATCCGCATACAGCATTTGCTAAATCTTTCTCTATTTCTGAATTTTTATATTTGAATGGCCTGTCCTGTATTTGTAAAGTCAGTAAATTAGAAAGTTCAACTAGCTAGTCTGCTCTCTGTAGTGCAGGTAAAAATTCTAGCATTTCAATTTGCCTTTTCATCCAAGTGTCTAAGTTACCCTCTACAGCTGTTATCTCTTTTAATCTTCCAACTGTAATGAAAAATTAAGTTTTTCTCAGCATCCATCTATACACTTAGCTTTAAAGCTGTATAGCTTCTCAAATGTTTAAATGTCTCACTGTTTAGTTATTTAGCTATCTTAAACTCACCTATAAAGCTGTACGGCTTCTCAAATGTTTAAATGGCTCACTGTTTAGTTATTTAGCTATCTTAAACTCTAGCCGTCTTGCTGTTTAGTTATTTAGCTATCTTACACTCTAGCCGTCTTGCTGTTTAGTTATTTAGCTATCTTACACTCTAGCCGTCTTGCTGTTTAGTTATTTAGCTATCTTACACTCTAGCTGTCTTACTGTTTAGTTATTTAGCTATCTGACACTCTAGCCGTCTTGCTGTCTAGATATTTAGCTATCTTACACTCTAGCAACCTTTCTGTCTAGATATTTAGCTATTTTACTGTCTTGATATTTAGCTATTTTACACTCTCGCTATCTTGCTGTCTAGATATTAGCCGGATTGCACTGTAGCTAAGTTGCTGTCAAAATATTTAGCTATTTTACTGTTTAGATATAACCTATCATGCACTCTTTATAACTTGATCTCTATCTTGCACTTTAGCTTTCTTTCTGTCTAGATATTAGCTTTCATTGCACTCTTACTATCGTGCTGTCTGGATAGTTTGCTTTTTACTGTTTATCTTGCAATCTAGCTTTCTTGCTGTCAAGATATTAGCTATCTTTCACTTTTGCTATCTTGCTGTCTATATATTTAGCTATTTTGCTCTAAGTAAAGTTAACAATGTACAACTACTAATTTGTAACTGTCTATTTTTACTGCTTTCTTGGGGAATAGGATACAAACTGAATAACTGATTTTTTGTTTATGTCTACCAATCAATCAATAGATATCTGTCTAACAATAATAGATCCAAAAGTTCACAAGTCTATAGCTGTCTATCAATCTAGCTGTTCAGCAATCTAGTTGTCTGCCGATCAAATCAACCTGTACTACGGTATCTTGTTGTTATCTTCTCTAAATGTTCAACTTGTTTTTACTTGTATTTCTATGTATCTGTCTGTAAATGTTAAACTGACTGTCTATCTAACTATTTGTGTGCGTAGCAGTCTTTTTTCATTTTCCGGTCATCCCAAATATTTGAGGGGAAATAGGTCAAAATAATTCTTCTTATCAAGGGATCCGTATCATTTAAATTCAGGTGTATAATTTGATTTTTATCAACAAAATGCTTGTGGCATGGTGCAGGGTGTCTCAAATATATTTTTGATTACAAGGTTTTAAGGGTCACCCTGTACACGTACAGTAGCTTGGATGTAAAGCAGGGAATGGAAATTTTGGCTCATTTAACGCGCAGCTAATCTTTAACATACAGCTTTGCATGCTCATATCGTAAACAATCTTGGAATCTTGGAATGGAAAAATCTTCAAAAATTCGCTTGCAAGGATTGGTGTGGAGTAGACGCCGACTTTATAATTTTAGAAATCTCGCAATTTTTGAAGGATAAAGCTTTCCGTCCCACACAGCTGGAACATTCCTTAACGCTTAATTTGTTTAAAGTATTCGCATTTACTACAATACTCATGCATCATGCTTACACACATACTAACATTCTTAGCTTTAATTTCTTCTAGAAAATAAAGAATGAGATACGGGGAAGAAAAAGCCGCAAAAACTTTCTGAAAAATTGTTAATTTGACAACTTTAAATTCTCTGGCTTTCTCTTTTGGTTTTCTGGAAGTTTTACTAACTCTCCTGTGTGCTAAGAAATTTTTACTGCAAGAATTTAAAAAATATTGTTAATATTGAACAATTAATTATAAAAATATTATTTTTGGCAGAAATTGTATAAATTCTTGTATTTTAGTACATAACACCATTTGGATTTTTAGACTAATATTTTTTTTCCTGTTGTCTTGTTTTTTCTTCTTTCATTTAAGGTGTTAACTTTTAAAGGATTATTTCAATGTGCTTTCTTCATTTTGCTTATTATGCAAAAAAATGTCCTATCCTTCTCATTTTGTCCATTAAAGCATGTAATAATTGCGCAAAATTATTATCGGACAAACTTTAAAAATTCATGACTGTAAAAATTAAAAAAAAATTTATTTTATTTTTCAAAAATGAGTCTTGTCTTTGAACTTTGAAACTCCTAAAATATTGGCAAACTTTCCTTTTCTGAATAGTGAAGCACAATATTTTAACAAAATCTTTAAAGTTTGTCCGATGATCATTTTGCGTAATGATTAATTACATGCTTAAATGACAAAAAGCATAAATAATCCTATTAACCTTGAGATAAATATGAAAATATGAAAACCAATAATTTTTTAATTTTCGCACATTTTACATTTCTCTCGGAGTAAAATGTTTCTAAACTAATTATCGCTCCGGTCCGATGGAGATCTGGCCGAAAATCAGTCTTAAAAGTACAGTAATAACCATAAAACAATGGAATAGTAAGACGACATTATAACAATAAGTAAGTGCATTTATTGCTGTTGCACAGTAAACACTTTTACTAGACACTTATGAATCACTAATTTAGTGAAATGGGTCTGTTTAGACTGAAAAATTCTGTGTTTCATGCTAATTAGACTTTTTAAATTTATAACTGGATCATAAAAGTCGTCTTACTATTTCAGAGTTTTCTGGTTATTACTGTAAATACACAAATTCGCTGCTGCAGAGCACTAGCTTTATTCTCTGTCAAGTATTTATAGTACAAGGGGCATATACGGGAATTTAATTTTTTTTTGACATTCCAGGGGAGGAGGACTGAATCCCCTGACAATTAAAGTTTTAAGTTTTTTTCAGGAAGGGGTAGGGGCTTAGCTTCCATAGCCCGTATAAGTAATATGTTAATCAGGACTAAATTAAATCCTGTGATCCTTGTGTTTAAATTTTATTACCTTTGGATAGAGTGGGTAAGACGACATTTCTCTAACTGAAAAGTCTAGAATTCAAAACTGTTTAATGTCGAGAAACTGGTAAATTTCAAAAATTGACATTTAGATATTTGTTTAATGGAAACTCCTCAGAACTACAGGTCTTGGTAATTTAACTAAAAGTAATTTTAAGTTTATCTTTAAGAGTTTTCAAATTAAAATTAGTGTTCAGGAAAAGAACACAAATTCATTGGACTTTATAAATTTTAAAAGAACAGAGAATTTTAAAGATATGCAAAGTTACACCTTACCAACAGTACATGCAATCTAGTATTTGTATAACATCTCACACATTACATAAACCCGTGGACCTCTGGATCGATAATTAGTTGTAACATTTTTATTAAAATATTATTGTCTTTTTTTCTTACTTGCTTTCAAGTTCAACATTAATTTTTAACTCTTACAATTTCTTTGGATTACTTTACGTTTTTTCTGCTGCTACAAACAATTAAAATTTTTCTTATTGTTTTTGTAATTTTTAGTATTCTAACTTTGTGATTTTTTTCATTTTATAAACTTTAGTAGATTTTTTATGCAGGTTTTAATATCTGAAAATTAAATAGATTTTGCCAGTAACTTTAGCAACCCTATAAATAGAATTTAAGCCATAATAGTTTTTATTTTTATAATTTGAAGACGACATTTGAAATGATCTGTATGAATGTTCAGGGCAATATCAACGAGAATGGTTGCTGGTATGTGGTGGTTCTTCACACTTATCATGATATCCTCCTATACTGCTAATCTGGCAGGTAGACGGTCATTTATCATATCCAGGGGCGTATTCGGTAATTTGTCCAAGGGGGTGGGGTTTCTTACCCGTTTTGGGGGCCCCAAAAACCTGGAAACCATAGATTTCACGTATCCGGGTGGGGGAGGGGATCAGCCCCCATAACCCCCCTGAATACGCCTCTAATCTTATCTAACTTCGTTTCCCAATTTCCCCATTCTAATTCTATAGTTTCCAAACATGTAAAAAGGGGGCTAAATCCAATCCAACCAATTTTCCCAATTAACTTAGTTTGTAGATCAAACAGGATTTTGTCTAAAAGAGGCAACCCCCCCCCCCCCCCTCCACATACTGGAAGTGCTATGGGATCGAGGGTGAAACATATTAAAAGTCTTGGGTTAAACTTGACCCCAAAATAAAAATATAGCTTATCAAATGAGCAAGCAAGTGAAAAGCTGTAGGGAGCTCTGAATGTAAAAATAAAGACTCGATTAAATTCTTCATAGTCGTCTTTGAAGTCTCATTAGTTTTACGCGTGTTATCTGTACGTGGAGCCCAAAGTTGTCGGAATAATGAAGACGACTTTTAAATACTTAGAATAATATGAAATATAATTCATCACATAAATATTTTTCCTTTTTAAGAAATACACTCCCCGGCCTTACGGCGGTAATTTAGATTTAAAAAAACAAAATGTTTTTTAATTAAAATTCTTTAAGAACTCAACTTGCTCTTGACATTATCTAACTATTTTATAAGTTATCAAAGCAAATGTTTTTTTTATTTCTAGCTTTCTTGACAGCTGCGAAGATGGATTCTCCGATTAACTCTGCAGAAGACCTTGCTAAACAAACCAAAATCAAGTACGGAACATATTGCTGCGGATCCACCAACGCATTTTTCCAGGGCTCCACCATCCCTACTTACCAGAAGATTAATGCGTACATGGAGTCAACCAAACCCAGTGTATACACTACAGTAAGAAAATATAACATTAAAAAAATACTATTTTTTATGACTTAACATTTTTCAATTTTTCAGGGAAACTCTCAAGGACTGGACAGGTAAATGTTCAATTTACAGTTATTTGTAAAAAAATCTTTCACCAGATAAAAGACAAAATTTTGGAAAACTTGTAAAATTGCAGACATTATTTTACAAGCTTATAAATGAGAAAGAAATCATGTTTTTCTAAAAAAAAATATTGATTATTATCAAAACATGTTAGCTAATATCAAATATAAAGATTTGTATTAACCGTAAGCTGGTAATAGAGTTAAATTAGTAAAGTTTAAATAAATACATAAATATATTAGAACAGCATTTTATAGTAATTATTTTAAGTCTTGAGAAAATATTTATTGAAATTCAGTTTGTCAAAAATATTAAATTCCCAAGTAACTTTTTTTAATTTTATCATATAAAAATTAAAAAGAAATGTTTACGATATATTTTTAGTCTAAACATGAAATTATCAAAGATTTAATGCAATATGTGTATTTCTATTTTTTACAAGAGAAAAAAATCTTTATTGCATAATCTCTCAGAGTATTGAAAGAGGACGGTATGTATGCTTTCTTTATGGAGGCAGCCGCCATAGAATACCACGTGGAGCGGAAATGTGATCTGAAACAGCTTGGCGGATTACTAGACAGCAAAGGATATGGAATTGCTTTGCCAAAAGGTATCTAACTTCTTTATTTCATTATTTGTGTTCCAAGTTCCTGCTTTTAAGACGCAGTAAATTGAGAATGTTAAGAATTTAGAGTTTCAATTATAATTTTTAATATGTCTAGATTCCCCGTACACTGCTGCAATGTCTGCGGGGGTGCTGCGGCTTCAAGAATCTGGAAAACTTCAAGAATTGAAAATAAAATGGTGGAAAAATGAACGCGGCGGAGGTTCATGCTCGGTATGTCGTCTTCATTATATTTTATTTTTTCAGTATTTAACACTTTTGTTATGATTTTAGGGTGACGCGGCCGGTAATTCGGCACAGTTGGATCTTGCCAGTCTTGGTGGTGTTTTCATTGTATTAATAGGTAACACAGGCGAACAACATATTAATTTTTTTTGGTTTTGTTTTGCGATTTATAAAAATATTGAAGGTTTTAATTCTATATCATTTTGCTTTCTTTTATCATAAATGCACGCAGACATTTTTCTGGTTTTCTCTTTAATAATTTTTTGTTGGTGGATGGTAATAAAACAACTCTGTAGTTTTAAAGTTGGTTGAACAGGAACTACAGGGTGTATCGTTCAAAGGAACTACAGGGTTTATCGTTCAAAGGAACTACAGGGTGTATCGTTCAAAGAGCTAAGTTTAGATTTAAAGGGACTAATTGGAAAATTTGAAAAGAATAAATCATCAAAAAAATGTATAATGGTAATATCAAAATTTTCCTGCACAAAATACCAGGTTTTTCGAGGATTATGTGCATAATTAGGCGTTACAACTTGGAGTATGATATGGGACGCTCTGTAGGAGCCAAAACGTGATTGATTTCAAATAAATAATGAGTCAATGTGTGTCACAAATTGTCATTTACAAATAGCTGTAGTGAAATGCTATAATTTTAATAGCTGTAACTAATGTTTAAATTGTATATTTTAGGTGGTATGGTTGTATCTATAATTATAGCAATATTTGAGTTCACATGGAAGCAGAGAAAACTGGCAGTGGATGAAAACGTAAGTAAAAAACACAATAAAATTAGAAAATAAATAAAAGAAATTGAGTCCCTGTCACAAACTCTGATTTTGTAATCTCTAAATCGATGCAACCCAAACCCAATTTCTTAGACCATATATATTTCAAACTATGACATTTGTTAGAACAAATAGTCTGAGTTTGAAATACCTCAGGTTTTCACCATCAGGTTGGAATTATAGGCTTTAGAAAATTAAAGTTCGTGGCAAAAACTCAGTTCCTTTATGAATTTAACTCTTTTATGAGAAAATTATTGATACATATTGGATCAAAAATGTTTTTTTTGTTCCTTTATTGTAATGCACTTGACCATCAATAGGGACAGCACAGCAAATGTTGAAAAAACCGGGATATTTTGCATACTCCAGTACTCATATCTTGATGAAGTAAAGTTCTCGTACTTCTCTTTTATAAAACTGTTCAAATACTACTTCATCGTTCTAGGAATCTGTATGGGCTGAAATGTGGGAGGAGCTAAAGTTTGCGGTCAACTTCAGAGCCGGGGACACTAAACCAATCAAACGAGAATCCAGCAGAGCAGCGTCGAAGTCTCTTCTTTCTAAATCCAAAGCGGAGTCACTCAACAAATACGGAGTTATAGGAGACGAGGTAATGTAGTAGCTTGAGGAGGGTTGCTTTTCTCAACGGATAAGAGGAGAGGGGGGGGGGGGTAAAAACAAGGTGTGAAGAATCACGATTGGAAAGGGTTTGTACCGAAGGAGAAGAACTAAGTGGCTTATAGTTTGCAATAAACTTATTTTCATGGAGAATAAAAGGTTCAAACTATCATAATAAGCTGCAGGGTTACACACTACGAATAAGATTTTAATGATAATCTAAAGCCCTTTGCGATTAAGTACACAGATTCATCAATTAAAGGGACTGTAAGCAAAATATTTAGTGATTAATTAAACAGATTAATCAATTAAAGGGACTGTAAGCAAAATATTTAGTGATTAATTAAACAGATTAATCAATTAAAGGGACTGTAAGCAAAATATTTAGTGATTAATTAAACAGATTAATCAATTAAAGGGACTGTAAGCAAAATATTTAGTGATTAATTAAACAGATTAATCAATTAAAGGGACTGTAAGCAAAATATTTAGTGATTAATTAAACAGATTAATCAATTAAAGGGACTGTAAGCAAAATATTTATTGATTAATTAAACATATTCATCAATTAAAGCAAAATATTTAGTGACCCTCCACGCGATGACTTTTGAATTATATTTAAAACTTTTTAGATTTTTGAGAAAAAACTTAAATGTGTAAAAATGAATTAAATGCGACGGTCTACACTGTCTATTTTATATCCTGCATTTTTAACATAATTTAATATATTTTTTTTCAGGCGAAAAGTATAAAGAGTCGAGGGAGCAGGAAGGATTCTAATTATGCATGCTTCAACGATAATTATTGAGAGAAAGAATAAACTATATTTGTTTTCTTCAGATTTTTAAATTTGTAAAATTCTCTCGTTCTTATTTTAAATCTGGTTCCTTGCATTCATCTCATCTTTTACATAATTCCAGTATCTTAATTTTCTTCTTCTGAATTTATGTATTCTACTTGCTCCTTTTCAATTTGTAAGTGCCTAATTTTCCTTAATTTTTTGCGTAAATTGTAAAGTAATGGACTTGTTTTTAATGTGTCCAAGGAGTCCAAGAGAGAAATTGTTATACCTAGTTAAATAGTTACCAAACCCTTTTACGATCAAATAAATATTTGAAAATAATTTTCATTTATTTTGTGAAATATTTTTCATTCGTGTTTGCAAATCAATGTTAAAAAAAATATATATTATATATTTGCCTGAGGAAAGATTTTGGACTTATCTCTATCTTTTCATCTAAAACGTTGATTATTTTAACTGCGGTTTTTTACAAAAGTGATTTAGGAAACAGAGGAAAAGAAAGATAATCAGAGAATTAATTTATTTTTATGACAGAAAAAAACGAATCGTTGTGATTTGGAAATGAAACCCTTTAAAATTGAAGGACACTTAAATTAACGTGGAAAGTCCCTTTCAGTGAAAGTATTATTGAAATACTCTTTAACTTTCTCTTAATGAAGTTAATGACATGGATGAATATTGATTAATCATTAAGTATAATTTACAATAGAGTGAATTAACCTATTTTTCCCGAGCTACAATTACCTATTATTTGACAAGACGGAGATATATTGTTGACGGTGTTAGGCATTTTTCCAAGTGGAAACTTCCCAAGTTACAATTTTTTAAGTGGCAACTTCCCAAATGTGCAATTTCCCAAATGGCGACATTCCATTGGTTAGCTTAGGCATTCTGAGGCGCCGCAGGCTGCAATAAGAGCCAAGCGCTGCGGTTATGATGGGCAAGAGGGCCGAGCGCTGCGGCTAGGACAAACTTTGAAAGTTACCGTTTGGGAAATTGCACTTTTGAGAAGTTCACAAGTAAAAATGCCTTTGGGAAAGTACCTAACGTCTATTTGACTGGAGCTCTTAACACCTAAACATGAGAAAAAACAGGTTTAGGTTCTGATCTGGGGATGATAAAAGCTTCTGTGTATTTTTTAGATTTCAGTATTTAGTGACTATTGAGAATCCAGATTAGATTAAGGTTTAGGTTGGGTTAAGATTCGGGTTAGGTTTAGTATGGTTTGAGTTTAGTTTCTGCTTTAGTATCAGGATCAAACCAGGAGTTTAAGATCAGATTCAGTATCAGGACCAAACCAGGAGTTTAAGATCTGGTTCAGTATCAGGATCAAACCAGGAGTTTAAGATCAGGTTCAGTATCAGGATCAAACCAGGAGTTTAAGATCAGGTTCAGTATCAGGATCAAACCAGGAGTTTAAGATCAGATTCAGTATCAGGATCAATCCAGGAGTTTAGGTTCACGTTCAGTATCAGGATTAATCCAGGAGTTTAAGTTCAGGTTCAGTATCAGGATCAACCCAGGAGTTTAGGTTCACGTTCAGTATCAGGATTAATCCAGGAGTTTAAGTTCAGGTTCAGTATCAGTATCAACCCAGGAGTTAAGGTTTAGGTTCAGTATCAGGATCAAACTATGAGTTAAGGTTCAGGTCAGGATCAGAATCGAACAAGAAGTTCTATTTCAAGTTTAAGTTGCTTTGAGTTTAGCTTTGCTTTCTTCATTCAAACTGTATATACTTTATACATATATTATATACCAGCTAAAAGACCCAGCGTTGACCATGGAAAAATAAAATTTTAAAAATAAATTCGATTTTTAGCCTATGTCACGGCTACCCATGAGTGTCCACAAAAAATATCAGCCCATTCGGTCCAGTCGTTTGGTCGGCCAGAGGAAGCATAGTTACGAATGTCTTGTTTTATTATATAGATTATATATATACATATATGTATATACATATACTCAACTAACTCAACTATTAATTGGTAATAGTGGAGGTTCAGGACCAGATACAGGTTAGTCCCCAGTTCAACCCTGGTGTCACAGTTACCCGGAGTGCGGAAACAAAACAAAACCCGGAGCTAGTTTCGTCCTCAGCCACAGGGTACACTCGGAGAAATAATAATAATTTTGTCCGACTCACAGTTTTACACTTTAAAATTAGGAGAATTCAAAAACTATTTTTACCCAAACTACAAAGTTCGTTTCAAATCATGAAATACAAAAGTAGTTCTGTTTTAAAAATAATATAAGTTAAAAATGGGTGGCTTCAACAGTAAGAAAAACAAAGAACCAGAGGTAAATTTTTTCAAATGTGATTTAACCTTGAATGTACATATTTGTTTTTACGTATTGCATGTTGTATATTATGCAATGTATAACTCCAAAATCTATTAACTTCTTAAGAGGAATTGCATTTATTCCAATTAACATTTAAAATGCATTTGGAGAAAGTAAAATCTAGAAAGTACAGATTCAATTTGAGTTAAACCACCCTTTTCGTTTCTCAAACATTTTTCAAAATTATTTTTAAAACTATCTTTCTTAAATTTTTCATAATTATCCCCATTTAATCTAATCAACAAGGAACAAATTGTGCAAAATCAGTGCTGCTGTTTATAAGCCACTCTTTTCGCTAAATTTTACGCACAGTCCCTTAAAGGGTAAATTTACACCATCTGGCCATTAAATCTTTTCTATCGTAATTGGTCTGATTTTAAGTAAAAGATTTCTTCTGGGTTTCATGACCTTTAAAGGGACGTCAGTGTAATGTCATGTGACCTCCTTTTTGAACAGGATTATGATCGATTCACAATAATGCCTTTCTAGCTTGAAAAGCATTTAATTCTTACATTTCCTCTATTGTTTCTGGAGCAGTAATGCGCAAGCCACTTTTGTGGAGACACAACAATTGAAAATAATCATTCCTTCATAAAAAGCTGGTTTTTTGGTATGCAACAATTTTCATTTAATCCCGCCGGGATATTTTCATTGAAAGATACTTTGAAAATCTACAAAGGCAAAAAAATCAGCAAAATCCGCAAGCCCTCGGGTTTATCATTGAATCCCCTCTTTAAAAAGGAATGTCATTTACTCTCAGAGTCTGAGAGTAAATGATACAATTAATACGTGATTAGACAATGTTATGAAGGGTACCGTTGTGGATGGGACATGCTACTTTATAAACGGAGTGCCAAGATATTTGGCTTTTAATTTAATTACCTTTACTTTGATATAGAAACCATCACAAAATAATCGTTTATATTTCACTTAAAACTTATAAATTTATATTTTGTTTTAAAAATCTTGAAATTCATGAACTGATGAGGAATCCGTTAAAGTGTAAAGTTTCACCAGTCTCGGTGACATTGCGTGCTAACCTTGCATTTTTATAACTTTGTTTTTTACTTCCAATGCTGGTTTCTTTTTTGACGGTCAAGCACAATTAGAAGAGGGGGGGGGGGTTCATCTATAATAAAATATTTTGACCTATTTATAATAATCCTTTTCCGTGTTTTACGTGTTAAAATCACTAGTTATATTTTTATAAGTAAGAAAAAACTTACATTTTGTCAAACGTCTTTTACAAGTCTAAAATTGAAATAAAACTATAGTATGTAATTTCCTATCTAAACTTTTTTATGAAATAACATTTTTGTTTTTTTCTTTCTATGAAATATATTTGAGTTGGGTATGTAATGTACTTTCTCTGTAATATCCTATCTCTGTAATGTCCTATTTCTGTAATGTCCTATCTCTGTAATGTCCTATCTTTGTAATGTCCTATCTCTGTAATGTCCTATCTCTGTAATGTCTTATCTCTGTAATGTCCTATCTCTGTAATGTCCTATCTCTGTAATTTTCTATCTCTGTAATGTCCTATCTCTGTAATGCCTTAATCTGTAATATCCTATCTCTGTAATGTCCTCTCTCTGTAATGTTCTATCTTTGTAATATCCTATCTTTGTAATGTCCTATCTCTGTAATGTCCTATCTCTGTAACATCCTATCTTTGTAACATCCTATCTTTGTAATATCCTATCTCTGTATTATCCTATCTCTCTGTAATGTCCTATCTCTGTAATGTCCTATCTCTGTAATGTCCTATCTCTGTAATGTCCTATCTCTGTAATGTCCTTTCTCTGTAATGCTAATGTCCTTTCTCTGTAATATCCTATCTTTGTAATATCCTATCTCTGTAATGTCCTATCTCTGTAATGTCCTATCTCTGTAATGCCCTTATCTGTAATGTCCTATCTCTGTAATGTCTCTCTCTTATGTACTTTCATTGTCCTATAATGTACTATCTAATCAATGTACTGTCCATTTATTAACCACTTTAATTCTTTTCTCCATTGTTAAATGTATAATATGGCTCTAATATAAAAGTTTTAAAACTATTTAGCTCAAGGCCAATATCTACTAACAGGGTAGGGTTCACGGGTAAACCATTTAACTATTTACAACTAATATTAACTTTTTTTAAAACTTATTTTTAAAACAAACAACACTTTTCGTTTGTCAGCATTAAATGTAATAACTATAATCAAATGTATTCAATTAATATTATCGTTGTGGGGATTTTTTCTTTTATCATTCTTAACAATAATAGTTTATATACAATTTATAATATACAGACTAAATTTATAAACATCAGACTTATTATCAATATTATCTTATTTACTTTTATCTGTACTAGGCTTATTTGGTGCATTACGTCCATTAATTTTTTGTCATGATTTTAGTTTTTAATGCTGCTTTATGTGCAACCATTTTTTCTTCGAACACCTGAAAAAACTTTGCAAACTATTTTTTTTCCAAAACTGTTATCATTGTTATTATTAATGTTATTGTTATCATTATTATTACGTTTTATTTAAAATTCGGTGATGGTGATGGACCAAACCTCTGTAGAGTAAAAAAAGTAGATGTTAGTTCCACATCGCCAGTTTTTGAGAATATTTCTGTCATGAAGATTAAAAACAAACTTTAATTTGTTATTTTTTGTCGTTATTATTGTTATCAATAATGATTATTTCTTATTAATACCAGGTGGATCTATGGGATAGTAGGTTTAAGAAGGTGGATAGAGAGAGGGAACGAAGAGATAATGACTGGGCAAATAATTCAACAACATCATATAATCTTTTTGATCTCGAGGAGCAGGTTAGGAGCTCAGCATTTACTTCTGTAAACATGGATTTAGTAATAAAGATATTTACTTCAACTACTTTTCCTTAACCTGAACCGGTGTCCTGTATCTCCTCTGCGGCAGTTCATCTTACCCTAAAGCTTAACCATTTCTACACAATGCTAGACATAAAAAGCTTAATGTTAAAACATTTAAAATTATTCTTCTCCATAAATAAATGGTTATCAAGTTCTAAAATGTATTATTAGAGGGGGATAACGCAAAAAAGTAATTTCCTCCCAAATGTCGCCTTTCTCTCAAACTTTCAAACAATCAATATTTTATTATTAGATAAATCTTAGTATGCTTTTCCAATCTAAATATATTAATAAATATCGGCAAGCGTCATAAGATTGATTTTGATGTTTAAAATTACGTTGAAATGGTTAAATCATTAAGAGAAGGTAAACTACACGACACCGTGTGTCTACGTAGATCAACCATGCTTCTCACAATTCTTCTACAATGTGGGCTTTAAGAAAAAGTAAAAGATTTAAGTTATACATGATTGTTGACTTACTTTTATGTGATTAAATAGTTTCAACATTTTAAGGAAAAATACTAAGCAAGATCAGCCCGCTTAAAGAGACTGTAAGGAAAAATGAGAGGGGATATAGGATAAAACCTGAGAATCTCGTAAGTTGAACAATACCAATAAGACATCTATCTGATGTTAGCTGTATCGAAAAATTGATATAAAACTCCTGAGATTCTCAGGTTTAAAATAATGTTCACACGGGCACACCCAGATGTAAAGTTTTTAATGATAAGACAACGGCGCAATACAAAACGTTGGATATACATCTTTTAATCATTCTTGAATAAAATGAAAGATAGAAAGTCTTCAAAAACAAACTGGAAACAGGTTTACTGATATATAGTTTTTTGTTTCGTATCGTGAGCTTTTGCCCGCAACCCTTAATTGAAATAGATTATTTGTTTTAAGTTAAAAAAGTTTTAACATTATGATTTATATAACCCATTATATTTCAAATTTTATTTTTATATTTTAACTAAATAAATCATGCTAAGCCAACAAGAGCTGGAATAGAACAAACTTAGTTAACAGTTTTAATAGATTGTAGACATAATTTCTGTGAACCTTCTTTTCCGATTCACAACTATACCTTTTAATGAAGACCTAGTTTTCCGATCTTAAAACGTGTTAAATTCTGACAATTTTCTTAATGTTCTCCAATGCACAGATCCGTAATTCAGGTCAGTTTCAAAAAGAAACCAAAATCTTTAATAATCAATTTTAGCTAGAAAATCCACGGATATATCATTAATCCTTGATCAGAATAATGTTTAAAGGGTATTAGACACACAATAAAGAAAGAGTTCGTTTAAATTACGTATACAGTCTTTTTCTAAAGAACATTATTTCTCAGGGTTTCCGAGCAAGTCCTGATCCGTCTCCTCTTGACTCCCACAGGTCCTCAGACCAGGAGCTCTTTGAATCCGTCCCTGTCATACCGGCATATAAACTGCAGCAGGCCAACCCGGAGGAGATTCCAGAAGATTTTATACCACAGAAGGTAATTAAGTCGTTGCCACAAACTCTGATTTTCTAATACCTATATCTTTGCAACCTGATGCTGTAAATCTTTGATATTTCAAACTTTGATCTTACAGAAATCATAGTTTGAAATATCTAGGGTCTACAATATCGGGTTGCAACCATGAGAAAATCAGAGTTTGAAATATCTAGGGTCTACAATATCGGGTTGCAACCATAAGAAAATCATAGTTTGAAATATCTCGGGTCTACAATATCGGGTTGCAACGATGAGACAATCAGAGTTTGTGGCACAGACTAAAATTCCTTTCTTTATAAATAATATATTTATAGATTTAGATTTATCTAAAACAAAAATGGTCTAAAAAGAATTGATTGATACCTTTAGATTTACAGAATTTTCTGGTTGCAAAAATTGACAAAGTAACTTCTAACTTTTAACCTGACTGGTTAAGAAGTTTCTAAACAGTTTAGAAACATAATTGTAAAATGTACCACTAAAAATAAGACAGAAGGAGACATCACTGGAGTAACTTTATGATATTGTAGCGCCTTTAGTTTTGATTTTACGCAAACAAGTACAAAGTATAAGAAAAGCGAACTTATTTGATTACATTTAAGAAGTTCAAATAACTTTTTTCAATTTCAACAAAAAAAGTTTTGAGACAACATATAAGATTTCCATCTCACGTACAATTTACTTTATATTGATGTTGTACATTACAGATTTCTACATGATCTTAAAATGCAAAACTTTTATTGTTTAGACCTGGAGGAGGGGGGGGGGACTTTTAAACGCTTAAGTTAATCATTTTATGCTACTTTAAATTTACGCATTGATTATTGAATATGTTCACACTCACACAATATCAATTGTTATTATTCATGAACAATACACAGTAGTAACCTTGTTTAACATCATACATAATTAAAAACAATCAATAACTCTAGTCTCTACCATTATTATATAGAATAAATATCATTAAAAACTAGAGGAATATCATTAGAAACTAGAAGAATATCATTAAGAAATCTTAAAAGGAATATAATGAAAAACTAGAAGAATATCATTAAAAACTAGAAGAATATCACTAAAAACTAGAAGAATATCATTAAAAACTAGAAGAATATCATTAAAACTAGAAGAATATCATTAAAAACTAGAAGAATATCATTAAAAACTAGAAGAATATCATTAAAAACTAGAAGAATATCATTAAAAACTAGAAGAATATCACTAAAAACTAGAAGAATATCACTAAAAATTAGAAGAATATCATTAAAAACAAGAAGAATATCATTAAAAACTAGAAGAAAATCATTAAAAACGAGAAGAATATTATTAAACATTAGAAGAACATCATTAAAAACTAGAAGAATATCACTAAAAATTAGAAGAATATCATTAAAAACTAGAAGAATATCATTAAAAACGAGAAGAATATTATTAAACATTAGAAGAACATCATTAAAAACTAGAAGTATATCATTAAAAATTAGAAGAATATCATTAAAAACTTGCTTGTACAGTAATTGTAAATAATTAAATAATTCTCAGGATAAGTGTTACTAACGTCATCCATCCAGACCGAATACAGAAAAGAAGCCATATTTAAGAATAAATTAATGCATTTACAAAATTGTAAACTTATTTTTGCTAGATGTCTGTACTTTATACACAGGGTTACCAACAAAGGATGAGACTTCAATGATGACCAAGAAAACTTTTAAATATGACGATCTGAAGATTGAGTTTATATTTTTCCTCAAATTAATTCCTCCGATGGTATTTTAATTATTTGACATTATGTTCGTACAATCATCTCTGAAGTCTAACCTTTTGAGGGTTACCCTGTATATGCCTGCATTTTTATTCATTATGATATTTAGTAAATAAATTTTCTAGTTTCATTTTTACTCTTAAAATCTAAAAATCACAATCTTTCTTTAAGAAAAGTTAAAAAATTTATTCTTTCTTTTGACATGAAATCTTCAAAATCAGTGCTCGCATTTTGAAATAAGATGGGGCTTTAAATTGAGAATGCACTTACGTGTTTTATTAAAAATAAAGACTAGTTCTTGCCTCTTGGATCCGATGAATTAAGCTAGCAAAGTAAAAGCAATAAAAAGTTTCAATATAGCTAAGCTAATGTACAGTGAGAACCAGAAAACTGTGGAATAGAAAGTCGATATTAAAGTAATATTTAATTGTATTTCATCTTGTTACAAAGCCAATATGTTCACTTTAGGTTTAAAACGTGAAAAAGTCTAATGTTCAAAAATAGTTTTTAATGATAGCTTGAGTCTAAAAGTTGTATTTTTTCAGTTTTCCGGTTCTCACTGTATATAGTTTCTGTACAGCATAAAAGCTTAAACGCATTTTACTCATTGGTGAATTCGGTGAATATGGCAAAAATCACTTTACTTTTTTAACATTACAAATAAATCTATAATTTTTATCTCTAAAAGTTGTTAGTTCATCGTCGAAAAATACTAACAATCCACCACCAATTTATGTTAAATATAGTATAAACAATAAATATTAAACTTTCCTTATCCTTTCCTTTCCTTTTATTTCTATTTTTATATTTTTTAGAATTTTGGGCAAAGATTCCCACGACCTCTTTTTTTAGAGGTTTTTTCTCCTGAAACACTTAATATTGTATGTTTTTGTTATATTTCATAAATAAATAATTCTTTACTCTTTTTACTTTACAAAAAAAATGTTGGCAAAAATTTTTAAACGGGATGAAAATTTATTCGTTTCTAACTAATGAAAAGTAACTATTCGTTCTTCTCTGTAAATATCAGATTAAGATTTTATTTTAGCACCATTGGGTGAAAAGCTTCTTTAATTGCGAATAAAAATAGAAATAGAAATTAATTCACTGTTGATTGGTATATCATTCATTATTGATTGGTATATCATAAATACACTGACGATTTTAGACAATTTTATCACAGAGTAAAACTATTTAGAATTAATGTCTCTTTAACATCATTTTGGAAACAAAAAAAGTCACAAAAAAGAGAAAAGTTGTCACGGAGATAAAAAATATACTGATTGGTGACAAATGAACTCTATGTTTAGGAATACAAAAGGTGTCGGTCCATAAAATTTGCGACCTTTTCCGTTCAGAGTTTTACAGTCTTTAGAAAAGTAACTTTAGTTTATCAATGATTTTATTACATTCAGTAACTTATACTGTTACGCAACTGCCCTTATTGCCCTAAAGGTAAATATGTGAATACCGTGTGGTGTTCCTACGGATCTGACCGGAAGCTGCTCTGCCCTTAGATCACGTCCATAATAAAACCAGGATAAGTCTTCAAGCTTTATTGTACTGCAGTTCAATCAACAAAATTATCAGTAAATAGATTGAAAGAAATACACGGAATATATATGGGCTACAGAAAAAAAGCATGAAGTACTAATATAAACACATTTTAGCTACTTAGGCCTTAAAAAACTGCAGGAAAGACTATAATATTTGGAATATAATATCGAGATCAAACAATAATAAATATAAGATCTTACCAAATGATCCTCGTAACACGTCAGGTAAGTAATCAACGTAGCAATTATATATAGGTTTATTTACTACCACGAATCCAACGATACTAAACATGTTTCGGGCCGGTAACGTACAGTACAAAACCGGTTACATGATACAAAATTAGAAAATCACAAATATTCTGGAAAGTTCTTTGTCTTGAAGTACGCTCCGCATTTAGGGATAAATACAACACGTACAGGAATGCTGAACTGGTTCTTTACACAATCTAGGTTGCGTAAAATATATCAAAATTGTTTTTTAGGCTGCACGATTGCCTGTTCAGAAGAACTACTACGTTAGCCCTAAACGTGGAAAGAAGGTGAATCTAAATAAACTGATGTTTTTACGTACTTGGTTCAGAATATTGGCTCGTTAACGTCATTATAATCGGGTTTCTTTCTAGCGAAAACAAATTTACTTTAAAAAGGTAAATTATATAATTTAATTTTATTATCTAATTATACAAGCTAAATAGAAAAAAAGAAAGTTCTCTCCACAAAATCACAGTTGAGGGATTATGAGATAAAACCTTTGTTAATCGCAATTTTTCTGGAAAAAATCAAACTAAATACTAAAACCTTCTTTAATCCTTACATTCTGCAAATATAATCAAGCGATGTAAAAACTATATTCAAAGGGCTAACAAGACAGAATTAAAATTGAAAGACATAGCTAAAACCTGGTCATTATCGCATTAGAAGATTGTTTAACCCCCCCCCCGTCCGAGTTTTTTTTTTGAAAATAATAATTATGTTTGATCAAATATTCTAAGTTTAAAATATCAAAGGTTGCATCATCTGGTTGTAAAGATGATTGGAAAAAGACAAAGACAAAGACTCAAACCTTTTCTTTCACAGATGAAAAGTGGGGAAAATTCTTATAAAATTATTACACTGTGCATATTTGTATGTTTGCGTTGGATGAATGTAAACATTGCAGTACAATTTAGAGGTTTCTTGAAAAAATATAATTTGATCTTCCCACAGACTAGTCAAGGTTAACCCTATCTCCTGTTTAGACACGGAGCAAGAAACCCCGTCCTCCTTGGGACGGAGAACTAGCGGAGCAGGAAAACAGGAAACCGGAAACAGTAAACAGTGCACCGAACAGAAATCCGGAAGCATCGAGTAGGAAATTTTCGACCAGCAGTGATATTAGGAATATTTCTCGAGTAATTAAATATATTAAATGATTTAATAACTAGTCATTAATCATCTTATAACAAGTTCGGTTATTTTTTATTATCTTTTATTTTAAGGCAACTTAGAAATTTAGAAAGTATTCTTTTCGCGTTTTAAGTAAAAAGGTTTTATTTCTCATTCTTTCAGTTTTGGATTTGTACCTTTCAGATAAAATATTAAGGGTTTTCACCCCGAACTAACCAGAGAGAGAAGCATTCGGTTTCTTTTATTTGAAATCAAACGTGTTTTCGTCTATATTTCTACAATCTTTAAACTTACGGATTTGTTTATTTTATACTTTTTCATTCAAAATGTATATGCCAACAAAAAAATTGTTAAGAGAAAAGCCTATAAAATTATGTTAAAGGGGTCAAATTGTGATCGAAAGTCACAGTTTTCTGAAATATTGACAGAACCGTTAAATCCACGTGTGTCAGGCTAAATTATTTAAAAAAAAACACATCAGATTTATGCAAAACTATCCAATTAAGATTTGATATTTGTTACCTGTTCCCCCTCTCCTTCAAAAATGTCATTTGCTATGGGCTTGTTTTATTGTCAACTTGTAGATTATCCAAAATATCCTTCCTTACTTTCCTATCCTTGGCTTGACTGCAATGAGGCCTGAATCTAGGCCTTGTTTTGTTTAAGCTGTGACTCCTGGGGTTCCAATGCAATGCAAATATTGAAAACTGTCTGATTTAACCCCGGTCCTAGTCTTAATTAAATCATACATTTCATGCGTTATATTAATATATGAATCTTTATAAATTACTTATATCGGCAACAAATCACGAAATGCACTTGAGCCTTAACAATTTATTCAAAATCAATTATGTTCCAATTCGCATTAATCATAAACGTATACATACAGGGTGAGTAAAAAAGTGTGATTAGCGGCGTCTGGTGCATTATTGTACTTTTTTTGTATAACTCTCCTGTACGGTATTTTTTCAATATTTTTTGGAATTTTTAATTTTTTGGTACTCTAATGCCCCCCCCCCCCAATAATCTGCGAAATTTTTTTTCTCCCAAAATCTAAAGCAAAAATGTGTATGTATATAAATTCTATCAAATTCTTCGACTTTGTAAATATTGAATCAAAGGATCACAGAAAATTCGTTATTTTCAGTCCTGGTCTTATTTTTATGGAAAAGTTGTTTTTTAATGGCTCCTCAATTTTCAACTGAACAGCATATAACTTAAAAAGTAGAAAGAAACTAGAGAATTTAAAAACTTTTCCATGAAAATTAGACCAGAACTAAAAATTGCAAATTTTCTTATTGCAATTTTGCACATTTTCTGAAATTATGTGATTCAATCTTTGTAAAATTTTAGAATTTTATAGAAATAATATAAATACACATGTTTGCTTTTATGAACTTTTGATCAAAAAAAAAGGTTCGAATAATCTTTTTGGGCCACTTGAGTACAAAATAATGTCAAAAAAATATAGAAAAAAATACCATACAGGAGAGTACGCACAAAAAAAGATAAAATTTTGCAGCAGACGCCGCTAATCACATCATTTTTTTACTCACCCTGTACATATATTAAAAATCAATGAAAGTATGCATGTTTCCAGGCCTAGAAACTAGGAACTCAAGAGTGCTTTGAAAGTTGTTAGTTTGCACAACTGTCAATAAATACATGGTTTAGGATGAACCATCTCAGAGACCCCTTTACGGAGTTTTCACACTGTCTGTTGCAACTGCAACATATTTATTTCTTAAGTAAACCATTTAAAGATCACATTCAAGGAAGACGACCTTGAGATTGCCCAATTTTATGATTTCAGGTCATCTTTACAGTCTCATGCAATTCATCCATTGGGTTGCAACGATATAGGATTAGAAAACTTGAGTTTGTAGCAAAGACTCAATTCATTTTAACAATTAACAATCTTTATTATGGGACACATTTTATAAGTAATTTTTTACATATTAGATGGTTTAGATTCAAATACTGAATTCATGAAAAAAGATTTTCAGACATCAAATAATTATTTAATAAAATCAATTAGAAAAAGTTATAAATGCGAATTGTTAAGTTGTTAACTGTATTAAAAAAGTATAATGACATGAATTAAAAAAGAAAAGAAAAGACAAGTTTTTAATTTTATAAATGTCTTGAAATAATTGTCTGTTCAGTACTGTTGTATTACCTACTGGACGAAAATCTCCTCCCACGTTTACAACTGTGAGTAAACCTCTCGTCTCTCCGACCAAATCTCCACGTAAACGAGTGCCATATAAATCTAAAAGTGATCCGTCCCTAAAGAACTCTATCAAGAAAAACTCTTCCTACCCTCCGAAGAGACAGCCAAAACCCTCTCGAACAGCCTCATTGGACAAAGATTCTCTAACCAAGCCTAGTTTAAACAATAACAATGAAGAAAAGAAGAATTTTAGTGTTTACAACGGGGGTCGAGCTGGTACCCGGAGTAAAACGCAAGCTCCGTCCTTTACAATAACTAAACCAGCCAACCCACCTGTGATAGAATCTAAACCAAGTACCGGTCCCTCTGTGTATGTTGAGTCACCTAGAGAAGAGATAAAGCGTCCCTCCAGTGAACCAATAAAGGAGACAAAACGAGAAGGTTCCAAAATAAGACAAGCATCAAGAGAACCTTCAAGAGAACCTTCTAGAGAACGGAGATCTCAACCATCAAATAAAGGTGAGTTTTTGAAATCTTTACTCTCGTCCCCCCATGTTTACAATATATGATCGCTACCCCGATGAATTAACATTTTGTGCAATATTCTCAAGATATAAAGAGAAGGGGGCCGGGTGGGAGAGTAAAATGCCCTAAAGCTAGGATCATTATAGGCTTGTAGAAAACCAGTTAACAAACGATTTTATGGAGAGTATAGACTCAGACAGAGCGTTTCATATAATTTTGGAGTATTTCCAAGCTTTAAACTGACCAAAACACTAACACTATACTGAAAGGGATTCAATCTTGTTAAAATTTTTCATCATTAGGCTTTTAGGGCGCTACGCGACCACTTTCTATTTCAATTGAGAACATTTTCTCTTTGCAAGCAAACAGAAGTTGCGGATTTTATAAAAAAAATCGTAGATTTTCAAAATTTCAAAAATCAAACTTTGTTGTAGGCAGATTTTTGAAATTTTTATCATCTATAAACCTTCCCTGGGGTAACGCAAGGTCCCAAAAAAATTGGTCCGATTGGTTATTATATATAAATATAGATAATCAAGTCCAGAACTTACACTTACATTTCTTCATCTAACAGGGATCCATGCTCTCTCACAACGGCAAGAACTTTGCCGATTATTTTTTAAAGACTAAAATTAGAAACAATTGTTTTCTTGGTTTAAAATGTTAAAAAATAGGGTTATAAAAAGTATAAGTGAGCTAGTGTCGTAAAATTAAAGGCCAAGGCTTTGCGACACTTTAAAGTCGACCCATTCTTGAAAACTTAATGCTAACAAGATATTAAGACATTAATATTACAAGATATTAATGTTTACAATACATACAAAACATTAACTGAAGGTCAGAACATTATTGTGTATGATAATGATAACTATATACAGGTGTAGTCTGCATGCAATAATAAAGGGTAAATATTTTCATAAGATATTCTTCTTATAAAAATGATTTTGCCTATATCATACAGGGTGTCCCACATCATATTAGATCGTCAATCGGTCTAAATTACGATTTTCGGAACTAATTAGAAAATTAAGAAGCATGAATCATTTTGAAAAATTGGATAAGGCTAATACAAGAATTTTCTTTTGGAAAATACTAGTTTTTTCGAGTATTCTGGTTGTATTGTGGCGTTAAAACTTGGAGATAATCTATTATGATATGAGACGCTCTGTAGATTAATTCAAATAACAGCTACTAGATGTCGTCTTTTCAAGATTCCGTTGGCTTAACCCTGCTGCAGCAACCCAAAGGAGTTGTGTGTAGCTGACGTAGAACAAAGAATGAGTGAGAGTCACAGGAATCTTGAAAATACGACATCTAGTGTCCTATCTGTTATTTTAATTAATCTATGGCCTATATATTTGGAATATATATGTATAGTACATAAAGAAATGATAGAAATATCACTAAAAGCTAAACAGAAGAAGGTCAAATAAATGATCTGAGATTATAAAAGGACTAAAACAAACACACATTAGATTTTATTAGTATGCTTTAATGCATAGGGTACTTCAATATTTGAAGGTCGTAGGACGGTTTGGAATAATCTGAAATTTTGTAATTCGAGCGCATTTGATTTGTATTTATTTCCCACGGTTAGAATAGATTAAATGCAGACCACATAATAATTTATTCCTTTATCGATTCGTGTTATTGAGCAGTTTTGTAAGAATCGATCAGATGATTTCAGCAGATATTTGAGATTTCTTACAGTGAAACCCTTAATAACGAATCCATCGAAAGAATTTATCAAATGTCGTCTTGACAATTTTTCAATGAGTTTTATGCTATATTACGTAAATTTCAGTATTCGCGAAAATAAATAAATAGCCATTAATATGTGGGAACAGTTTTAAAGAGTTCCATATAATCATTTAATTAAAAACTAAATATCTGCAACATTATTATCAGAAAGTGAAGAATACGACATTTGATTAATTCTTTCGATGTATTCGTTATTAAGGGTTTCACTGTACAATATTTATCTCGACTGTTCAAGTCGAATGATTATGATTCCAAAGCCTGGGTAGCCATAAAAGAACGGTTTACTTGCCTCAAACTAATTTTCTAATCCTTATATCTTTGCAAGTTGAAGGCAAACAACTTGGCATTAAGAGCGGCTTTTTAATTTAGCAGAAATTAATTAATTGCAAAAAGAAGGGATTATTTTTTTGTGGTAATTTTATTGTCAAAATATATTTAATCTTCATTTATCTAATAACTATTTGATTTGATTTTAGAGTTTGAGGCATGTAATAAGCGTAGAGAATAGAATATACAGACAGGAATTTACTAGAAAAAAGTGTAAAACGGCCATTTTGTTGTACTGTTTCCATACTGCAGGTGTGCTTCACATATTTATGCTACAGGGTGTCCCAAAAAACATGGGAATTCAGTGACGAATTCGATATCGTCTTTTCAAATAATTCTTCGATTTAGTATAGTGATACCTACTGAGAAAGCTGTAATCTGTAAGAGTTTCGTCTGCTATGTTTACATTTTGTTTGTTTATGTTTTGACTGCAACCGGTTGTACTTATTAAAACAAGAAAATTACAGTATACAAACAGAGTAAACTTGTCCGTATTCACTGTTCATCTTGCGGAGACATTATAGACACATCTTTACAGTCATTTACCCTTTTCATAAAATAAACTCTAGCAGACATAATAAAATTATGGCTTTTGAAATTAGGTATTACAATGCTAATTTATAACAAAGACGATATCGAATTCGTCACTGAATTCCCATGTTTTTTGGGACACCCTGTATATAACCTGTTGGGCCCTGGAATATCATTTTATAGAAAATCTAAAATTATTTTTAAAAGAAAACCAAATTATGAAATAGGCTGGTTTCATAATTGACCAATGATCATTTCACATAGACTCTATGCCTTCCACTTTACAAACGATGATTTTCCGTTATAACTATAAATGAAATGATGTTTTTATTCACCTAATTCATTATAAAGTTTATTTAACAGCTTTCAAAATTTCGAAATTTAAATGAATAGTCTAGGGAACATACTGTATTAATGTACTTTACTGCTTATAATTTGTGAACATTTACATGATTTGTACACTTTGAACTCCCTTTCAGACTGAAAGGGACTGAAAAAATTCATACCGAGAGATTTTTTTAAATTCCTCTCTATATATTCTATTCTCTATGGTAATAAGTTAATTTTATAAAACATAACTTAATGCAATTAAACCTGTATTTTAAAATCAATAAAATCATTTTTAACTTCCTTACGTTCATTTTTAAAGTTAGCTTACAAGAATCAATTTTTTCCGATGTGTTCGGTTTTTTTCTTTTTTCTCGCGTTTTGGTGTTTTATTCAAAAAAATTTTAAAAAAGAAAATCAAACTAACCTGTTAAAGTGGTCAAATTGATCACAGCTTTCAGGGACAATTAGCAAGGACCAAACTCTTAAATCAAATAAATCAGTGGGTACTGTTTATCAAACACTCTCTTAAAATAAATTTTTGGAAATGTTTTTCTTAATCTTTTTGGCCGAAACTGAACCACTTACAAAGCAAATAACTTTTGAAACGTTCAATTTGTATTTAGATTTATCTTTAACTATTCGTATTATCTAGGCTACCCCTATTTTGGATCATAAATGATTAAAGAAATTATAAATGTTTTGTGTTAATAAACAGTTTTATGATTAGGGTATAAATATTCAATTAGGATTAATGAGCATCCATTAGAAAGTAGCTGACTGACTTAAAGATGGATAGTTCGACAGACGATTGCCGGCCAGGGGTTAAACATACATAAAGGTCTCCTCCACAAAATCCTCTAAAAAGCTTAGTTGTGAACAAAAGAACTGTGTAAAATTTTTGCCCCCTAAAGAGCTGCACGAGTTTATTATTTTTTTTCCTTCAATAAATACTGCCTACATAGTGCTTGTTTTATTTTATTTTTCTGTATAAAAGGTTGAATTTAAAAAAAGCTTTATTTTTTACCCCTCCTGTATTTTTTAATGACGTCAAGAAGTATCGTTTATTAAACCAGTCAATCAAATGTATACCACCACACAACACAGCATTCTTCATCATATCATATAGTCAGAATTTAAGAAGTATGTGAAAAAAATTTAATTTTTGACAAAAAAATTACAGCAAATTAATATTACGTACACTGTACAGCAAACTAATATTACGCACACTGTACAGCAAACTAATAATACGTACACTGTACAGCAAATATGTACCGCTGACAAAAAGTACAGCAAACTAATGACATGTACACTGTACATCATGTTTTATATCTGATTTCTTTCTTGCATGTCCAAAAGATCAGATTGTTTCGCCTAAGTGATATTGAGATCTTGTCCATATTGTTTATATTGTTTCCTAGAAGAGGCGAGTAATCAGTTCTTTCATCAACATTTTCTTTTCTTTTTTAAATAATTTGAAGAGAACTCTAGTCCGTTTAGATTGGATGTAGTGTTTACAGGGACTGTAGTCGTATATTCAAGTGACCCTCCATTTAAAGAAGGGTATGTTATTTACAACGATTCCTTTTAAACGTTTATTTAATCAATAATTTGGAAGATATCATCATTTTTCTAGTTTAAAAATTCTGATAATTTCTTACCAACGTTTCAGCAGAAGGAATGCACAAGCCACAAAAGTTACAATTGAATGGATCTCTCATTGTTGATCTGTCAAAGCTTTTAAGGGTACAGTTGTAAATCGGACATGCCACTCTGTTTTTAATGGAGGGTCTCTTTAATGGTGAATTATAAAACTCTACTAATTAAAAAGACGACTTTGAAAGATAATCATTTAAAAATGGAGTAGAGTTTGATTCTAACATTATATCATGTTTCTAATGAAACTCAATTAGTTTAGTGAAAGTTCAACCTTTGAGCAAACTCATTTTCAACCAATCACAGGTTTCCATATTTCATATTAAATCCTAAATAAACAGTTTAATTTGAAAGTTATATCCAAGGAGATTTAGTACACATACATACGCTAGGGTTGGGTTACAGCTACACTTATTAGTTAATCTTAGTATCTTGCTGCAGCACTGTATATATGTATATATACTAGGCTTCCAGACGTTTCGCGCCCCTCTTTTTTGTAACAATCTTAGCTCTTAAATGTTACTTTAACTGAATGGCAACAATTATTTCTTTAAAATTTCTTACTTTTGACCAATAATAAACTTTCCTCGGGGCCTGACCAGTTTGGCCGTTTTCGCGTTTATCGGATAAAAACTAACTACAAACCTGCTTTCATAGTTACATTGACAGAATTACAAATCTATAGGTAACTACAAACCTGCTTTCATAGTTACATTGACAGAATTAAAAATCTATAGGTAACTACATCATAGTTACATTGACAGAATTGCAAATCTATAGGTAACTATCTGTCCTTGGTATTTTGAAAATATAATAGGCGTTCAGATAACGACCTCACATAGATCCAGACTGCTGTTAAACACTGTATACATTTTCAAGACTGAGTCGGTTTAAAGTGTCAAAACGTTTGGCCGTTGATTATATCTCACTAACTTTCATATACTTTTTGTAAACATTTAAAACTATAAAATACTTGTTTTTAGCTTTATGTTTTTAAGAAGTATTTGGAAAAATTCTCAACGATTTTACATAAGAGCTGCACTGTGACCTTATTTGATAAGATGAAGAATAAGCCACATTTTAATGTTCTCCAGGGGGCGAAATAATTTTTCAATTTCACCTCTATCTCTTTAATTGTCCGGTGTTTGTTAACATTAATAGACAATACATTATACAATAAACATATATATCACTTTATATAAAAATTATCTGAGTTTAAACAAAGAAAACCATTTCCATGAGTTCTCAATGTCAATAGGGATTGGCTAATTTTTAAAAGAACCAATCTATCTATCTATCTATCTATCTATCTATCTATCGATCTATCTATCTATCTATCTATCTATCTATCGATCTATCTATCTATCTATCTATCTATCTATCTATCTATCTATCTATCTATCTATCTATCTATCTATCTATCTATCTATCTATCTATCTATCTATCTATATTTTCATATCAGAGCCACAATTACGAACCGATCTGAACAGAAAATTGAGATGAAAATAGTTTTTAAAATTGGATCTAATCCTCTCCATCAAGCCTTTCCGTGGAAGAATGATATTTAATGCATTGATTTAATGCATTTTGTGACTTTTCTTTTTTCCCCCAAATCTACAGTTTTCGGTTGAACACGATAATGACAGTTAATAACGTGGCGTCTTTTTGAGATTTATTTGAACGAACCTTTGGTTAATATTGTTATTCATCACGCGCTTGGTACCATATCATGATATTAGCTAAAGTGCCCGGTCGACGTTTCTAGGGGAATTTTTAAAAAAATCCAGCCTACATGTAACCCCAGGTGTTTGGCCAGCCATAAGGAACATATAAATATGTATGACCCAACGAGGTTATAGTATGACCGAAGAGCTATATATCTATATAATAAAGCTCTTCGCTCATATATTTTTATGTTGACTATAGCTGGCCAAACGGCTGGACCAAATGGGCTAACATGGTTGAGGAAATACATGGGTACCCGGTGGGTAATAAAAGCATAAAAAAATTCTAATTTATTTTTTCAAAATTCTAATCTTTTTTAATTCTAACAGGCATTTCAGCCAGTAGATGTATAAATATCTAATATTTTTGTTAAATGATGATGAAATCAATTTTTAAAGGCATTTTGGTCATGTAATCCTTTTTCCAAGAGCGTATACAGAAATAAATCTGGGGGGGGGGGCAAAAAAAGTTTTTGTCCATCCCTCCTAGAAGCTCTTAAAGGGGGGGGGCAAAATTTGAACTGTATATTCAAAACATTTGGCTTCTTTGATATCAAGCATAAGTATAAGATACTTTAAAGGTACACCATAAAGTCCAATTACCATAGAGAATAGAATAAATATTAGAGGGGAATTTACTAGAAAAAAATGTAAAACGGCCATTTTGTTGTACTGTTTCCATACTGCAGGTGCACTTCACATATTTATGCTATATAACCTTTTGGGCCCTGGAATATCATTTTATAAAAAATCTAAAATTATTGTTAAAAGAAAACCAAATTATGAAATAGGCTGGTTTCATAATTGACCAATGATCATTTCACATAGACTCTATGCCTTCCACTTTACAAACGATGATTTTCCGTTATAACTATAAATCAAATTGTGTTTTTTCACCTAATTCATTATAAAGTTTATTTAACAGCTTTAAAAAATTCGAAATTGAAATGAATAGTCTAGGGAACCTACTGTATTATTGTACTCTACTGCATATTATTTGTGAATATTTACATGATTTGTACACTTTGAACTCCCTTTCAGGCTGAAAGGGACTGAAAAAATTCATACCGAGAGATTCTTTAAATTCCCCTCTAATATATATTCTATTCTCTATGCCAATTACCTTGCAAGTACTACTTTATCTCTCCTTCAAACAAAACTAGCAGAATAAACATGTTTCTAAAAATCGACATTTTATTATATTGTTATGCTACTATTTAAACTAGAGATAGTAATTTTTTGAAAATGAAAAACTCAATTTAAACTTAAATTTATGAGATGAAAAAAAGGATCGACAAAGGTACTGAAAATAATTATGACTTGTAAAAGTTTCTGTTGTGCAAAAAGATTAGGAGTACAATTGTAATCTAGATTATAAAGCTCTTCGTTCATTTATATATGTGATAGCTCTAATTTCAAGGGGGGGGGGGCTACGCCCCGCCCCTTTACAGGTCTAGAGGGGACTCTGCCCTTCTTGCTCCCCCCCCCCCAACAATGAACCAAAATAAAAAAATTTTACATTCAGGTGATTACGTTTAATGATAAAAAATGTACTCTTGGATCAATTGGTATGGCTCAGATAACGAAACTAGAAAATCAGGTAATATAAATAAATAAGATAGAAAACCAAATTTCATTTTGTTCTCTCCTTTATTTAGGATTTTTTCTTACTTTTGTGTCAGACTCAGAAACAAGTGTTGAAAACTTAGGCGTATAACTAGGGTTTCCAGTGCAAGTGGATTTTACTTGCGCACAATTGCGAGCCCTGTAAACTCCTAACAATTGCGCGCAACGGAATTGCGATTGGAAACCCTATTTATAACATATTCCTAAAGCAATATTTACTTACTAATACTTATATATGTAATGTTTATGATTCTATATATATTATTTAATTATGTATATAAAATTTAATAATACAGGGTCTAGGTTTAATAATACAGGGTCTAGTTTTGATAATACAGGGTTTAGGCTTAATAATACAGGGTCTAGTTTTGATAATACAGGGTTTAGGTTTAATAATATAAGGTTTAGGTTTAATAATACAGGGTCTAGTTTTGATAATACAGGGTTTAGTTTTGATAATGCATGGTCTAGTTTTGATAAGACAGGGTCTAGTTTTGATGAGAGAGGATTTAGTTTTGATAAGACAGGGTTTAGTTTTGATAAGACAGGGTTCAGGTTTGATAATACAGGGTTTAGGTTTGATAATACAGGGTTAAGGTTTGATAATACAGGGTCTAGTTTTGATAATACAGGGTTTAGGTTTGATAATACAGGGTTAAGGTTTGATAATACAGGGTCTAGTTTTGATAATACAGGGTTTAGGTTTGATAATACAGGGTTAAGGTTTGATAATACAGGGTCTAGTTTTGATAATACAGGGTATAGGTTTGATAATGCAGGGTCTAGTTTTGATAAGACAGGGTTTAGTTTTGATAAGACAGGATTTAGTTTTGATAAGACAGGGTTTAGTTTTGATAATACAGTGTCTAGGTTTGATAATACAGGGTCTAGTTTTGATAATACGGGGTTTAGTTTTGATAATACAGGGTTTATGTTTGATAATACAGGTTTAAGGTTTGATAATACAAGGTTTAGGTTTGATAATAAAGGGTCTACGTTTGATAATACAGAGTCTAGGTTTGATAATACAGGGTTTAGGTTTAATAATACAGGGTTTAGGTTTGATAATACAGGGTCTGCGTTTGGTAATACAGGGTTTAGGTTTAATAATACAAGGTAAAGGTTTGATAATACAGGGTTTAATTTTGATAATGAAGGTTCTACGTTTTATAATACAGGGTCTATAGATTTGATAATACAGGATTTAGGTTTAATAATACAGGGTCTAGTTTTGATAATACAGGGTTTAGGTTTGATAATACAGGGTCTGCGTTTGGTAATACAGGGTTTAGTTTTGGTAAAGCTAGTTCTAGTTTTGGTCTAGTTTTCGTAAAACATGGTCTCGGTTCACTTTTTAACCCTGTGAAAAAAATTGTTAGAAAGCTGTGGAAACTATAAATAAATACGGGCAAACATATTCATTTAATATTTATTTATGTATTACTTTTAGGCTTTTATGTCTAGCTTATGTTTTATTCAGTCAGATTGAAATAGTAATTAAATATATAGTTTTTATTATTAAATCTTTTAAAATGATTAAAATTAACAAAGTTTTTATATTCTAATTGCTTGAGCTTCAAATATATGAAAGAATATTAATTTTATGTCAAAGGAGTTGAGTTTTTGTCACAAAATCATAATGAGATACATTTTTACATTATTAAATTGCGTAAATGTGTTTTTTTAATCGTAAAAAAGTTTTATCTAACAATTTAGGAATGTATTTTTTGCAGTACAGGGTTTGCCACAAAGAATGAGATTGTAAAGCCGACCTTAAACTCTAAAAAATTGAGGAGCCGGAAAATTAGTTCATTTTTTTTCCTTGAATATAGTCTTTTAATGGCTTATAAAATGATTTAGCGAAAGACGAAACCAGTATACAGTTGCAGAGAATTTTGGATTTATGGAAACAGATAAAATAAACTCCGTACAGTTGCCTCTAAAGTCTTATCCTTTATGGGTAACATAATTATGGAAACGAGTCAATTTATATTATCTAATTGTGTATACGCATGTTTAGTTCGAGCTGCGGCGTCAAGTGTGCATTTTTGTTATCTAATTGCGTACACGCATATTTAGTTCAAGCTGCGTCAGTTTCCGTCTGGGATCCCGGAGGGGTTGACCCGCTGCTTGAAGCTGTTGAAGAGCGGGGAGTGGGAGCAAGAGGTTGAAGGGTTGGAACTACTCAACTCATTAGCTCAGCAGGCTCCTCAGGTACTGTACAGTGTACAGTGTACAGTGTACACCATCTCGCCTCAAATTCAAATTTTGTAATCCCTTTATCTTATCTATAACATAACTGCCATATGTTCTAGCAAAGTTTCAAAGTTAGAAATATAAAATGGTGGGGGGGGGGTGGTTCAGTTGATTTTGAGGAGAGTAATTTATAGATCCAAATGCTTGATATGACGGTTATAGAGTATAGACGTCATGAGAAAAATACGTTGAGTTTATTTATAAGCAAAGGAATTGAAAAAAAAATTACTAAATATAAATAGCTACTTAATGGCAAATTAAACAAACCCATTGTTAATTTCAAGTTGAGGGAATCATTAAAAGTATATTATCCAACTTAACACTTTTACATATAATATCAGTGAAAATTCTTACTGTTGTATAAAGATACAAGTCAAGTACGAGTAAATATGAGTTCAATGATCATTATTTCTGTGGCTTCATGTTAAGTACTGAAGTTGGTAAAAAAAGATTAAATTCTAAAATTGATTATTTTAAATAATTGTCTAGGCCCTGAAATTCTAAAATTAATTATTTTAAATATTTCTCTAGGCCCTAATAAATGAAGAAAAGCAGGTTCGAAATCAGCTTCTTCTTCAGATAAAAAATCTTAGATCACAGGTAGACTTTGAAATATCCTTCATGTACTATAATGTACTTGTATGTACTGGTATACAAACTTTATACTCCAGATAGAGTTGAATGTGCACTCTATACTCCAGGTAGACTTTGAAATATCCTTCATGTACTATAATGTACTTGTAACTTTATACTCCAGATAGGGTTGAATGTGTACTCTACACTTCAGGTAGACTTTGAAATATCCTTCATGTACTGTAATGTACTTGTATGTACTGGTATACAAACTTTATACTCCAGATAGGGATGAACGTGTACTCCATACTCCAGGTAGGGTTGGAGGTATAATACTCTATACTGCAGGTAGGGTTGGACGTATTATACCCTATACTCCAGGTAGAGTTGGAGGTATCCTCTTTGCTCCAGGTAAAGTTGGTGGTTTAATCTATACTCCAGGTAGAGTTGGAGGTATCTTATATACTCCAAGTAGGGTTGGAGGTATTCTCTATACTCCAGGTAGAGTTGGTGGTTTACTCAATACTCCAGGTAGAGTTGGAGGTATCCTATATACTCCAAGTAGAGTTGGAGGTATCCTATATACTCCAGGTAGAGTTGGAGGTATCCTATATACTCCAAGTAGGGTTGGAGGTATTCTCTATACTCCAGGTAGGGTTGGAGGTATACTCTATACTCCAGGTAGAGTTGGAGGTATACTCTATACTCCAGGTAGGGTTGGAGGTATACTCTATACTCCAGGTAGAGTTGGAGGTATACTCTATACTCCAGGTAGAGTTGGAGGTATCCTATATACTCCAAGTAGGGTTGGAGGTATACTCTATACTCCAGGTAGGGTTGGAGGTATACTCTATAACTCCAGATAGGGTTGGAGGTGTCCTCTATACTCCAGGTAGGGTTGGAGGTTTACTCTATACTCCAGGTAGAGATGGAGGTACACTCTGAACTCCAGGTAGAGTTGGAGGTATCCTCTATACTCCAGGTAGGGTTGGAGGTTTACTCTATACTCCAGGTAGACTTGGAGATATACTCTATACTTCATGTAGGGTTGGAGGTATAATACTCTATACTCCAGGTAGGGTTGGACGTATTATACTCTATACCCCAGGTAGGGTTGGAGGTTTACTCTATACTCCAGGTAGGCTTGGAGGTATACTCTATACTCCATGTAGGGTTAGATAAAATCTTTAATACATATAATCCAGGTGTTTATAGGGTTGTATATATCCTCTAAACTCTAGCTAGATAGTGTTACGTATCGTCGTATTCTCTATGTTTCAAAATATTCCTGGTAGAGGTGATGAAACACTCTGTAATCAACGAAGGGTTGGAAATATCCTCTATCCTCGTCAATGAGGGCTATTAAACTAATTCCTAAACAATCATATCTCTATAGGTTACCAGATCAGCCTGCCAGTGTGCTGCAACCCTGTTTCTCCACCTGGGTCGGGATATGGAGCCAGACCTGGAGAAGGTTGTTCGAGAACTCCTGGTCAAATCATCAGATACTAACAAATTTATTAGGTAGGAGTACAATACCAACAAGTTTATTAGGTAAGAGTACAATACTAACAAGTTTATTAGGTAAGAGTACAATACTAACAAGTTTCTTGTTCAGATCTCCAGGCAAAGCTGGGTTTAAATAACTTTAACGCACATATATCTTATCCCCCTTCCTCCATAACAGGAGTTAACTACACCTTTTTAACCGTTGAAGAACCCTTAAAGAAAACTTCAATTCATTCAATTGCTATTTATTTATCAAAGTGCACTTCAGCACAGCTAGCAGTAAAAAACTTTATGTAGTTTTTATAGCCTATAATCAAGCACCCTAATGAATTCCCTTAAATGTATTACCATTTTCTAATTAGTAATTTAAGTTCGCAGGCCGAGTTTAAAGAATTTGAACCGCGTCGCTGAACCGCCAATAACCGGCTAAAATCTCGAAACACTTACTAAAGTTTCCAGCTGAACCAACCACGCTTGAACCGCGTCTAGACCCGGTTCAAATTCTTTAAATTCGGCCTTAAGATTACGTGCTTGACTTTTTTAATGAACTCCCTGAATCTATTTTGACTCAATTGATCCCAGAAAATCTCCCTTTACTCCCTAAATATCCCTTGACTTCAGTTAATCCATCGAATCTCCAATTACCCCTGATTCTTCCTTGACTTTATTAAACTACGTGGATTCTCTGAATCCTTTTACCCAGGAAATCTCTTTAGACTTCTATAAACCCTGAATATTCCTTAATTCTCTTTTACTCATTTTACTCAATAATTTTCTTTTGACCCCTAAACTACATGAACCTAGAACCTCCCTTGTTGAACTATTATATGTTTAGATCGGATGCTATGATTGCCCTGGAGGTGATGGCTGAGAACGTGAGCGTGAACAAGGCAGTCCTCACCATGTTCAATCTGGGCAGGGACAACAAAAGCCCCGTCATTAGAACAAATATGACAAAGATAATAGACATTGTCATAACCAGGTAGTAAAAACATTCTATCTATTCCAGTTCTTGTTAAGATTAGTAGATTTTAATGACGACCCTAAACCCTCCTTAAATATAAAGATCTAAAGGTTTTTGATCTTCTAGCTTGAATAAGGTATTCTAATGGATTGACAAAGAAAGTTAAGCTAGTTTTCACATTTAATCGTCTCTTAAAGCTCATCCTTTAAACTGGTTAACCCAAATCATTTTCGTCAAAAAATTCCAATGCAGCTTTTTAAATCCAATATTCGACAAAGTTAGCGTTTCATAACAAAGACATGACTATCGATTTAGAGCGCTCAGGAGAAATGCTTCATCAAATTAAAATTTGAAAATAGAATTTACAGTGTCCGGATTTAATAAATAAATTGCGAGAAATCGTTAAACTGCGAAGAGACGGTTCATCAAATTATATTTTGTAGCTGGTTTAACTTAAAGTTTTAAAATTTTGAACAATCCTGAGATGTAGCTTCAGACGATCCAGTTTTCTTCAGTTCGGAGTTTAAGCTGTCAACCTTCGTAATGATTTAAAACTTAATCTTATTAGGTTGAAAGTTAGTGATCTGAAATAATTTTTTTTTTATCTTTATGGACTTTTAAAAGACACACTCTCACAACACAAATACTGTGAACTTCAAGATTTCAAAACTGTATTCTGTAAACTTTGCAATATTTTTATCCTATGAGAAAGTATAAGGGAAAAACGAACCGAACGACGATAGTTTTTTTCTCTCAGGAACAAAACTTGGCATGGCAAATGATTAGAACAAACAACTGAACAATTTGTACAGCTTCTCAAAATGTTGAGAGCTGAACGATTATCAGGGAGCAGTGAGGAGCTCCAGGAGCTCCAAGAATATATGTTGTAAATGTTTAGGTTGGGAGCTGAACGATTAATGGGGAGCAGTGAGGAGCTCCAAGAAGCTATATTTAAGGAAGGAAGTAAACTGCTAACAGATGGTAGTCTTGATGTTAGGTATTACAATGATTGAATAATATTTGATTGTTATTTTTACCTACAAAACAAAAGTATAGGGAGCTACAGGATGTCCCACGAAACTGGACAGATGGTAAAAAGTTTTGAATGTCTTCTTCCATATGCTGTATTAGAAAAAAGACTTTTTGTAGTTTATTTTGTTGAAAAAATTTCTTACTCAAATATATTTTTCGTTGAAATTAATTCTTCTTTATGATGACTCACTTACAATATCTTTTATTGTTCTCTTCGGTATTAAACAACTTGACAAATTATGGAAGAGGAAATTTTAAACCATTCACCAACTGTCATGTTTCCTGGGACACCCTGTATTTTGTTCACAACTTAAACGTTTTGTCATATTCATAAAGTCCAGGAATCAGAATAAAACTCTTGTGATAAGTTTTTCTCTTTCATGGGACTCCATGAATCAGAATAATATCCTTGTGATAAGGTTTTCTCTTTCAGGGGACTCCATGAATCAGAATAATATCCTTGTGATAAGGTTTTCTCTTTCATGGGACTCCATGAATCAGAATAATATCCGTGTGATAAGTTTTTCTCTTTCATGGGACTCTATGAATCAGAATATTATCCGTGTGATAAGGTTTTCTCTTTCATGGGACTCCATGAATCAGAATAATATCCGTGTGATAAGGTTTTCTCTTTCATGGGACTCCATGAATCAGAATATAAGGTTTTCTCTTTCATGGACTCCATGAATCAGAATATAAGGTTTTCTCTTTCATGGGACTCCATGAATCAGAATAATATCCTTGTGATAAGTTTTTCTCTTTCTAGGGTCAAAGCGTAATCAATGCAAAAATGCCAATGCCCAATTATGACGGTACTCCTTAAACCCTTTTCTGATCAAGTATGAACCATGATTTTGTTTATTTTCATTTGTAGTTAATCTGTTAAAGCGACATGCGCATTTCTAGCTTAGATACATATGAAAGAAATTCACAGAAATCAACACTTTTCGAATCAGATAAACAACATGATGAAGGTTTCAGGGGTACCATTGTAAATATTGTAAATCGGGCACTATTTTGTTTTCATGGAGGTTCACTGAAAATTACAATTTTAGTCCCTTTAAACCTGGAATATTTTAGACAACACGCTAAGCATATGTGGAGTGAGATCTCTGAGCATCAGAATACTGGGAAACTACTCGAGAAGTATTTAGAACCTGGAGAACTAAGAGCTGTTAACAAGGTTCTTGATGGATTGCATTAAAACCTTGAAATATTTTATGTTCCAATATCTATCAGAATTCAATATATATTCTTTCTTTGTCCTAACAAGGATTAAGTTTTTCTCTCTATAATCTGTTAGAAAAGACAACCATTAAAGAATGATACTTAATCGCGTTCTTTAACTACATTAAACATAACTCACACAACGATATCTGAACCATTTCAGTCTCCTTTTAGACCTATTATCAGTAAAAATAAACTAGATGCACACTTGCTTGCTCCGAAGGATACTTTCCTTATATAGATCGAAATTTGATTTAGTATAAATTTTTCAATATCTAATGGGTGATGTGAGATACCACAAGACAAAATTGGGCGCCATCGAATCAGCCGTTTATTTTATTCAAAGACAACAAACGGACCCTAAGTTTTATAAATATCTTATGTTTATTGACTCGCACACTGAATGATGAAGTGAAATATGGAAAATTTATTTTGATCAATAAAGAGTATTCATGTGACATGTAACATGCTAATTTGCTAAAAGATTGGTCATATTGTAAAAATTTATATAAAAGAAATCTATCTTTTTTCATGTTAATTAGCCGGATACAATATCCAGGGAAGTTATGAATTCTAATCTTTGTTGTGGCACAAAAGACATTTCAGATAAAGATTAATCTTAAAAATATATCAAAATTGACATTTGACACATTGCACTGGTTGGATTATAAAGTTCACAAAAAGAGTTTAAAAACACGAGAAGCTGATTCAAGATATATAAGAGCAGAAAATAATGATGATTGACAAATAGCAGACACAAAATTATTTCCTAACAAATTAAAACTAAAAAAGAAATTCAAAGAGAACAGAAAGAAATAATGAAATAAAGAAAAAAAATATTTACTACTAGTTCCAATTAACCTTCAATCAATTTATATAAATAACATCTGAACATATGAATAAAATTTCAATAAAATACTATGAATTTAACTCTGAGCAAATAAAATAGAAAACAGATCTATAAAAATACAATTAATAAATCAGATCTTTTAAAAATAAAACATTTTCACAATTTTATCAAACATGCATCACTTGGGGTTATCAACAATTATCAATGATTTGTGGTCCAAATATGTAAAGAAACAAATAAAACATAATAATTTCTTAGTTTCAACTTTGTTCATTCAGTTGATTCGGTCGAGTTAGGTTAAGATAAAATGATATTTAAATCAGACCAAACATCTAAGATCTAGTTCTTGTTTTGAGGACGGATTGTATCTAAACTCCTCCTCCACTCCTCTCCATCTTCTCTCCGTAGGTTCCAGGCTAAACATAATAATGTCAAATAAAACAAGATTTGACATCATATCTCGGGGCTCTACTAGGGGAAACTAATTTATCATTGTTTTCTTACACTTCTATACTTCAGTATTGCATACGGGTTTAATAAATGCATTATTTTTTTTCCTTGGCTCACCGGCCAATTCAAGGGGTTCGGAATAAAAAATCAATTGGTTACCCCGTATTAAAGTTTAAAGAAGATAAACTCGATGAATATTCTTGAACATCTATGTCATTAAGAGAACATAAATCGAAGTATAATAATCCTAGAGATAAAAGTTAAGTTACAAATCAAATAAGAGAAATATTTTAATTTTCATTATTCATTGTTAAAGTTTGATATAATTTGGTGGAAAATAAGTTTGAGATAAATTTAAGAATATTCCCCCTGTTTATATTTTCAAGGATATTGTCCTGATTGCTGATTTTATTGAAACAAGCCAACAAAACAATCTGCAGGGTGTTAATTGATTTATATAATTGTATTTATAGATTATTATTAGTGATAAATGACACATTAAAGAATTGAAAATAAGTTAGTGAATAAATGAATTGCTACGAGATAAATGAGTCGTAACAAGTATTTAGCTAGGTTTGGTGTGAAATGTGGAATTCAAGCACACGGACAAGCACAAAATATAAAAGGATTAAATCATGATTCTCAGAGGGTCGGGAGTACAAGGGGAAAGTGTGATGGCTAAAAAACACGTAATTATAGTTTTTATTTAAGATGGGTAGATCAGTTGCAAATGAATAAAAGAGAAAATGCAACCAATAACATTATTATTTAAAGGAAGGAAGTTTACTAAGAAGTAACCCGAACAAAAAAGGTATTAAACCCATATTTTTATGCACGAATCTGACAGGTAATCAGTTTAAATAGAAGGAAAGATATTCAACCCCCCCCCCCCCTGCCTGGGAAGCAGAACAGCTTATTTGATGTTAAATATGTTAAATGTTTAGAAATGAAGATAACAGATTTTTAAAGAACATAATACTTCATAAGTGGTACAAAATGTAAATTAAACATATTTTTTACTATTTTGTTTAAACAAGTGTGCAGGTAATGTGAAAATATAAACTCTGATAAAAATAGACATGGAAAAAATAGAGTGTTAAATTGTGACATAATACTTTAAACTCGTAAATACTGTGCGATAAAATTAAAAACAGATGAATCAATTGAATAAATTTCCGGAGGACCTAAAAACCAACTGTAATTAACCATTAAAACTAGAGGGTTTAAGTGCCTACTTTGATTGAAAAAAATACATATTTGATACACACTGCACTAAACTTTTTCTTACTTCGGGATACACTGTTCGTTTCCTCTTTTCATTTTTATACTAAACAATTGGTTAAAAATAACAAGTCATTAACTTATTAGTAATAAATAAATGTTTCTTTAATTAAAAAAAAGATTTGATATTTTTTCTGAAGAATTTTAGTTAATTAAATAAGTAATCTATTACAATTTTTGTGACGTGACTTCTAAAACTTGAGTTCTAAATAAATGATTATCTTACCTTATATTCTCCTTCAGCTATCTTGGCAAACCTTGAGTGTGAGATAGTTCCAGACTTGATTGCAGACATCATCTTAATATATTACAAAGTTAAAATTCGGAAAACTAAAAAAATATTAAAAAAAATAAGTCCACTGAAAAATGTGGGGAATTGCCAACAGCATCAACTTTCAGAAAGAAGTTTTAAGTCCTTAATGAATATTGTGTTTTCAGCCTTGACATTTTCTTTTGCTAAAAAATACGAACCATTATACAAATACAAAGAAAACATGCAATGAAATGGTGTTTGCAAAAAACACACACAACAGATACAACAAGGATTAGTGGAAGATGATTTATCTAAAATATAATTTAACAGGTTCAAGTGACAATACAGAAGTTAAGGTACTGCAAACTGCAAACATTTTGCTGGTCTTCTACGAAATGAATCAGAAATACTTTCATACAACAATAAATTGAACCACAGTATCATGCAAGGTATCTAGGAGGATGCAAAGGATAAACTATCAGAGATTCCAACGGTAGTCTAGGGTTGACGCGCTGACCTGCAGATATTCCTCGACCTCAACCTGACCATTATGGTTTGTATCCAGTTCGTTGAGTAGTTCATGTATCTCCTGTCCACTCACCTCCACCATCATATTCTAAATGTATGGTTAGATTAAACACCTGAAGGAATTCTGGTAGCTCGAAGCTACCGTAGTGTTCCTGGTTGACTTCATGAGCTGCCCACTCTAGTTCTCCACTAGGTAACTTCCAACCATCAATCTAATCATAATATTTTACCAGAGCTAAAAACTTAAGATACCCTTAACCCCGATCGCTTGATCTGCGTATCCAATGGACACAATTTTGATTTTCTTCTTAGTCCTCTCTGTTGAATATTCCTGTACTGGATTACGGCGGATGAGTAGAAAAAAATCAAAAACTGGTTTTTCAAAATTAATTAAATGAGAGAACTCTCATTAAATGGCGCGCAAAATTCAAAATTTTCCGGCTTCAGATACTCAACTCTGATTGGTTTAATTTTTAACTCATTTAGAAGCCGAATTTAAATAATTTAAGCCATGGCTTAAATTTGAGAAGCGGCTCAAATATGATTGGTTCCACTTAAAATTGTATTTAATTTTTCAATATTTAACCAGGCGCTCAATTGAAACCGGTTTTTGGCGGATTTGAGACGTGGCTCAAATTCATTAAATTCGTACTCAGGATACACACACAAGATTGGACTAGCCTCGAGATTAAGAAAAAGAGAGAATCAAGCATTGATCACAATATCCACAATTCTAAAGTTTTCAGCTCTGCCTCCATACCTCCGTTTATCTAAACTTTGCCAGTGATTAAAAAAAACATCAAGAAAATAAGATTAAGGTCTGAGCTGCTGTTAGGCCTTATTTACGGCTCGGGCGTTCGGATTTCAGTTGCATCTTATTTTCCACAGAGTTCAGTTCATAAAACCGATTAAATGTTGTAGTGGGCGGATTTTCTTGGTTGGTATTGGCGTATTCCAGGTTTCGATGAGAATAAGACCCAACAGTGATTCTTATTCTCAACACAAACCAACCAAAGTCGGTTTTGTTTTCATAGGGCCTAACTCCTTAAAAGTCGAGCCTAAGATCTCGCAGCTGTCAATCACGTGACACAATATGTCGTCAGAGTTGGGTCTTAAAGCTGGGTTTCAAACCGAAGTTTTTAAATCGCAGGCTCTGTACTAATACCAATATAAAATGTATTTTCTATCCCTGATAATTTCCCTGAGCATATTTAACCCCTATTCAATATTTCCCTTTAAAGTTGTATGTTTTCCCCAGTATTTAAGTATTTAAGTTTATAAAAATGACCTTGAATGATCTTCTGATATCGTTGATAGAAACATATCCCTTCTTTCCCTCGTCCAATGCGTTAAAACGTTTAACATACTCAGCAATCTCCGCCTATGCAATAATAAAACCTTGAAAACATAATAAGGCTAAAAACCAGCAAACAATTATACTAGGCAGTGCCTAGAATCCATTTAATTTAGATATGGATTCGGATTCGGATCCTGGATCCGCACTGGAAAAAATGGATCCGGATCCAAGTTCTTTCTTAAAGATTTACTGAATTTTTTTAACAAAGCAGAATTTTCAAATTTTTTATTTTTCGCTTATTATACTTGATGAATCATTCAAAAATCAGGAAATTTTTATTTAGTTGCTGTTTTTGGTTGACTTTTTGCCAATGGGATCTGCATATTTTTGCCAATGGGATCTGCATATTTTTGCGGATCCGGATCCGGGAAGCCAAAAACTTGCGGATCCGGATCCTAAGCACTGATTCTAGAGGGAAACCAATGTGAACTTCTCAAGATAATCCACAATGGACAATAATGACAACAACATTCTAGTAATCAAGTAAGTTTTGTGAACTCTAATCAGTCCTGCTTCACACATAAAATATTATAATTTTGATAATAAAGGTTTATCATTTTCCTTGGTTAGATTAATCGGTATTTCGTCCCGGCTTGCCTTGTTCAGATCTTTACCCATCTCAGTTCTAAACAGGAACAGGATTAATCTTAATCAAGAGGTGTTTAATGCTTACTATTGAATAGTGGTTACATAAACATTAAACATATACATCAAATAAAAAGAAACGAAAACAAGACATTTATATATATGTTCCCTCTGGCCGACCAAACGGCTGGACCGAATGGGCTGATTTTTTTTAATAACACTCATGGATAGTGTGGTGGTGACATTGGCTAAAAAAATCAAAATTGTTTTTTTTCTTAAATTTTTTTAATTCCACGGGCAACGCCAGGCTCTTCAGCTAGTCTTTAATAAATCTTGAATATATTTATTTAGTAAAATAATAGCGGTGTAACCTGAAGACCAAAATGAAGGATTAAATCTGAGATAGCTTACTTGAGAAAATTGACCGCCATCTCGGTCTGTCTAACCTTCTCCTTGTCATCCCAACCCAGCTCCTCTGCCATTATACTCACAATATGAGGGAGTGCTTCCTCTGCTGCCTAAACAGTAAACATTTACTTAAATCAAATCAGACTTCAAGGGATGTCCTGCTAACCACCCTCCAAACTTGTGGTGAATCTACTAATAAAATAAAGGGAGGTTAGTTTGTAGATGTTTACATTACGTGTTTCCGAGTCAAATTTTCAACTTTGGATAGACCTTGATTATATATTTATATCATAAGACACTATTACTGACATCCGCCCTATTTTCATGGTTTAATTGATTGATTGATTGATTTAACAAATAATTATTTCTCTTAAAACCTTGAGTTCTTTATTTTTGAAAATATTTCTAATTTTCTAGAATATGTTATAGTGTTAAGCCATTATTTCATTTTAATCTATTCATGACTAGTCTCAAAACTCGTCTATTTTTCTTCAGTTTAATATTGAATGTGTTTAGCTTATTCTGGTTATATTACAGTTGCCTTTCTGGCCGGGTGTATTACTTATCTTACGTTGGCGGCTTGGGTTTCTCAAGATGGGGAAACCTTCAGATCAATACTCGTATGTCCTCGTATATGATCTGTAATTACCCCCCCCCCTCCCCCCACTTTGGAAATTCAACTTTTATGACTTATGTTATTTTGGTCTTGTTTTTTTAATCCATTAATCAGAACAACTTTTAAAAATTTTTTTGTTGCTTTTGTTTTTTTTAATGAGCGCGCGAATCCGTATCTAAAGGATGTCAAAAAACCAAACACTTTACACTTTTACTCCCACAGGCTTAAGTATTATCCGATCATAATAAAATTAATATCACAAAGTCTCCAGGATGTAAGGTCTATGTGGTAAAAAATATTGGATTTGGTCAACGCTGATCTGAATAAATGCTCTTTATCTCTAGGGGATGAAACTGATCAGCCTACCTACAAAAAAAAAATAAAATAACAACGCTGAAGGAGGTCCATAACTTGCTTTAAGTGACAAAAATCTATTTACAGGTGTACAATGTACGCTTATAACTTTTAACAGCTTTGTAGTTTACAGATTACAAGTTGAGGGTGGATCTGATATATGACCCAACACCAATTTGGAGGACACTGTAAACCACCATTTCTAGGCAAATACAGATCCAGTTCCTTCACTTCTCCTTCAACAAGCAGAACACCTGCCGGGGACCAATACGTCAAGCTTATGGGACAATATTTTTTTGCAAGAAGGAATATATATTATACTATCCTAAAGCTTTTCCTTGTGTATATAAACTCCAATATGGTCCATGAGGGCTCAGCTTGCGAGCATAACGAAACTAATATAAAGCCAACACAACCAGCCTCTTATGCTGTCAGCAATTGTTTCAATCAAAGTTTGGGTTACATTGGACAATATCCAAAAAGTTAAATAATGTCCGGCCTATAATTGAAAATATTTGGGTCATGGAAAAAAAAGGTTGCAAGGAAAAATGTGAAAATCTCTATCTGAAGCAGTGTGGCGAGAATTGGTTATCCCAGGCGTTAGGCTGTTCAGTGATCAAATCCTTCCCCAAGAGATAAAGAGCATTTATTCAGAGCCGTGTAGACAAAATTCAATAATTTTTTAATCATGGAATACTAACGTCCAAGAGACACTGTGATAATTTCATAATGATCGGTTAATAATTAAGCTAGTAAGAGAAAAAAGTTTGAAGTGTTTTTTTTGACACCCTTTACTTAACAGATTCACAAATTTGTTTTGTTTTTGTTCTTGTATATTTTATCATCTTATTTAAAACAAGTTTGTATAACATGTTCTCATTTTTGTTCTTCTGAAAAGAAATTACAAATAAAAAGTTGAATAGTTAATGGCCTTGAATTGACTAATCCAGAATCCTGTTATAAATTAAAATAATATCTGACCTGAACATTAAGAAAGGAGAGTCTAAGTCTACGAGCAAGAATATCTATAGCAGTACAAGCATACTCCTTTACTGCATAGCGAACCTAGAGAACAGAAATAACGATAATAATAAAAACACGAAGCTCCAACAATTTACAGGCATAATTTTGCCTATTGCCTAGGCCTATTCATTCCAAAAAAATAGAAATCAAGTTGAGAAAAAATCTTTAACTGTGCCTCAGCCCTTGACTTTAATAACTTATTCTGAATTAGGACAAAGAAAATATCCCTAAATTTCTAAAAATATTAATAAAGTAAATGTTCAAGGATATTTCTACCTCTGCATCAATGTAAGGGAACTCCATATGTATTCTCTTTCCAACTATAGGCCACCGTTTCCCTGTTAAAGATGCCATCTTTCCAACAGAGAATGCTCTGTCTCCGTAGGTTGCTGCTAGATGCTGCGCTACTTGAGTATCCACTCCCAGATCCTGACAATTATTGATTTACATATGGGAAGGGGGGGGGGGGCTGGGGTGAGAGTTATATATCAGAATATTGCTTTCTAGTGAAGTTTTATTTCAGGCAAAAATAAAATAAAAAAGGCAATTTTAATTCTACATATAGCTATTTAAGCAAAATTAAACAAAAGCATCATAACATTTTAAAAACTTGAAAAATATTAGATTTTTTGCTTCAATAATCATCCTATAAGAATTATAGTTTTAATGTTAGTTTTACAGCATGATTACCTGGACAAGACGGATAAACATGGTTGGAGTCCAGTTGTGTGCTCCTTCCAGTAACATTCCATCCGTTACACTTGGTCCTACATCCAACCCAGTAATCTTAAGAAATTAATAGTTAAATTCGACGTAATCTTAGTTCTAGGAATTGTTCTTATTTGTTGATACTTTGTTCTTCAGTTAATACAAAATCAAATATAAACCTTGCAGGCCTCGTCCACCGTCTCCGAAGCCATTGCTCTGTAAGTTGTCCATTTTCCTCCGGCAATCGTTATCATATTACTCTCAGATACATGAACAACATGGTTCCGAACTAACCAAAATATATTTATTAGATTTGAATTTTTTCAAAATTAAGTTTTAAAATATAATCTATGTTCTTCATGTTATTTCTCCAGAAGATATATTTTATTGTATTAAATGAGACCCTCAGTATAGAATACAAACCTAAACTCTGAGTATCCTCTGCATTAGGATCCTTGACTAGAGGACGGATCCCAGCCCAGGCTGAGAGAACATCCCCCCGCCTAACATCTATATCTGGAGTTAGATAATTCTTCACTTCCTTCAATATAAACTGTATATCCGCCTCACTTGGTCCAGGAGAATGAGTTACCTAAATATAAATCAATTAATAAAAAAACAATTTTTGAATCCATCAATCCATCTATCCATCCATCAATCCGCAATCATTCAATCATTCATTCAATCAATCAATCAATCAATCAGTAAGGTCAACCAAACCAACCATATTTACCTTACAGGGAGTATCTGTAGTACCAGCTATGGTATGGTTCTGCCAAGGAAGAAAGAAGATTACCCTACCATCACTAGTAGCTGGATCTAATAAACCCATGTTAGATGGAGAATAGTAGTCTGGGAGAACAATATGAACCCCGGCACTAGCGCACACTATCTCACGAGCCTTACCATCATCCATCTTCCTGAAATATAATAAAAGCGTATTTTCAAGTGACCCTCCAATTCCATTAAAAAATGACAATGCCCGATTCACAACGGTACCATTGAAACCTTTAACTTATCATTTATGTGGAAGATATTGTTGTCTTTCTAGGTTTAAATATATAATTAATTCTGATAATTCCTGTATGTTTTCCGGCAGAAAAAAATGCGCAAGTCACTTTTGTGAAAAACTACCAATTAAAAATAATTCGTTTTCAAAATTAGGAAAATTGATATCTCAAGGATACCGTTGTGAATATCTTTTTTAAAATTCGGTGATGGTGATGGAGCAAACCTCTTTGGAGTAAAAAAAGTAGATGTTATTTTTTGAATGGAATGTCACTTGAAATAACGATTAAAGTCCCATTAACTTATTATCGCTAAAAAAGGAAATTGGTTTAATATTTATTTTTGAAAATCAATAATATTGTGGAACCTTAAAATGTTCAAGTTTACATAGTATAGTATTGAGACTAACCTGATTGAGTCCGTGAAGGGTCCCGTAGCATTTATCACACATTTTGCTTTAATTTCAAACTCTTCTCCGTTAATTTCATTTCTACATTTAGCTCCTTGAACCTTACCGTCAACCTTTATATAATTAATAATTATCAATCATTTCCCTTGATAACAGATAGTTAAAATAACTTAAAAACGGAAATTGAACAGTTCATTAAAATGCTAAACTATTAAAAAGGTGTCAAGATTTTTAAATGTCTTTTTTATGTCATGAAAACTATTATTCCTTCCGGCCCCTCTGGGGAGGGGGGTGTCAGGTATTTGGAGTTAGAATTGTGAGATGAGACTGGAGTACACAATGAAAAACACGAACACCAGTTTACTACCAGAATATATTAGAGAAACTACGAGATCAGGGATTATACAGAGAGAAACTTGTTCTAGTTCAATAAAACATGCTACGATGAGGCGTCACCAGATCATTAAACTGAGTGCAAAATATTAACTCGAAAATTAACGATACGATATTCCGAAAAATTCATTCTTGTTTGACAGGGATATCTAATTTTGCTTCAACAGATTATCAGAAGCTGTAATTTATGTGTTTAACATTTGAGATTGAATAAATATTACTTAACGTTAACCCCATGAAGAGTGAATGCAATCCTACCTTAATCAAATCTACAACCTTGACATGGTTGGCTATACTAGCTCCATGCCTAGCTGCTGTAATAGCTATACTTATATTCATCCGAGCATCATTATGGCAACCTGCAGAATAAACAGAACATTAATATTCAACTAGGCTTTTAGGACGCTCGCATCTTCCATTTCAATTGTGAACATTTTAAAACAAAACAAACAAAGATTGCGATTTTATAAACAAAAATTCATGGATTTCAAAATTTTCAAAAATAGAATTTGGATGGAGGCAATTTTTGAAAATTCGATCATCAATAAACCTTCCCTTGGGTCACGCGAGGTCCCACAAAAAATGTGTTGACGTTTATTGGATACAAACGGACAAACAGCCAGACAAGCTAAGTATATGTATAGACGAAGGGACCAATTAATGAGTGTATACAAACAAATAGACATGGCTTAATTGTAAATATTTAAAGTAATTTTCAGGTCACCAGAAAAAAATTTTAAATCATATTTATTGAGGGGAGTATATTTTCTTAAAAATCACCCCCCTAAACCTTGGAAAATCTTTTATTTCTGAAATGGTAATTCTTCAACAATATTCAATTAGATATTTACCATCATAGTAGACGATAGCTCCACACAGCTCGTTCTTCTTCAGCATAGGGAATAGTTCAAGGGCGCGCTCCTTGTTCAAGAAATACGAGGATTTCAAGCATTCACTCCCAGATACAAGATCATATGCCTTTATTCCAGCCCAGAAATATGGAACCTAACATAATATACTGTAATTTTCTGCATAATAGAATCATATAAACCCGACCCAGCCCGACCCAACCCATAGTGAAAGTTTACAAATACACTTAATATCTTGGTTGAGACTAAAAACTTCATATATTAAACTGAACTAGTCAAATGTGAAGTAAACTTTAAAAATCATTTAAATAATGCATCTAAAAATGTTATATCCTTCATATTCGTTCCCTGCCAAACACACTAGATTTTGCTTGACATCATATCTTCTTGATCCTACCTGCCACCAACGGTAAACGGGAAGCATGATGGGTAGAGGGAAGGAGAGGTGAGGAGCTATCTCTAGTAGGTTAGCTCTCTCATGCAGAGCTTCCTTTACCATCTTATACTGCTCATAGTCCAGCTTCATTATAGCCTTCTGTAGGTATCTAGGTATAATTATAAAATTAGCTTGGTAACATGTAGTACCTGGATAATACATTGTGAATCATGTATCTGGATATATATCTACGAGATATATGATAAGTTTAGTACTCCTACCGGACTCCTCCATGTATAAGTTTAGTACTCCTACCGGACTCCTCCATATACAAGTTTAGTACTCCTACCGGACTCCTCCATGTACAAGTTTAGTACTCCTACCGGACTACTCCATATACAAGTTTAGTACTCCTACCGGACTCCTCCATGTACAAGTTTAGTACTCCTACCGGACTTCTCCATGTATAAGTTTAGTACTCCTACCGGACTCCTCCATATACAAGTTTAGTACTCCTACATGCAGTGCTTAGGATCCATTTAACTTTCCTGGATCCGCACTGGTAAGTAATTTCTTAATGATTTACTGATTTTTTTTAACAAAGCAGAATAATCAAAAATTGTCTTTTTTTCGCTTATTTCTTGATGAGCCATTCAGAAATCAGGAATTTTTATAATCTCTCTTTATTTCAATAGTTCAGATTTGGGTTTAGAAAGTAAAAAAGTTTTTTTTGGCAGTTTTTTGTTAATATTTTGCCCCTTGGATCCTACCTGACTCCTCCATGTATAAGTTTAGTACTCCTACCTGACTCCATCCATGTATAAGTTTAGTACTCCTACCTAACTCCTCCATATATAAGTTTAGTACTTCTACCTGACTCCTCCATGTATAAGTTTAGTACTCCTGCTACTGGTACCGCTACTAAAATCATCTAGTTCTACCATGGCAGTCTTCAATCCTCTTGTTACAGCATCCAGAGCACATCCCGAACCTATTGAGAAAACTCTTAAAAATATCGTTAATATTTTCTTTATTGAAATTTCTTAATAGTTTCATTGGCAATGTTCTATCCATATTTCACTCCTCCTCTGGAAGCATAATTCTTTCTTACTATACCAGGGATCTATATTTTCTAGAAAAGTCATTTCGAAGGATATAAGTGAAGTTCAGGGGTAAAAGCGTAAAAAAAATAAAGAGAACAATACACAGTACATTAGTTAAACCACTTTTTCCTATTCCGCCCAAACTCCGACAATCATGAACCCTACTGGCCGCGGGAAAAGATAGGGGGGTGGGGGGTTGACAAAATGTTTCCCATTTAGTATGAACATGTAAGAATTAGTAACGTATTTATCTTACGAGATACTAAATAATCACATAAAAATTATATCAATTATATACTCTACATTCTTCCCCGAAATCTGCGATTGTTCAACAACGGAAGTAAAACAGTGTTAACACTAAATAATTCCAAATCTTGACCTGTAGCTCCCCCTCCTATCACTAGGACATCAAATTCTTTAGTTTTCAGGTTTTGAATCTGTTCTGCTCTAGATAGCAGAGGACCACTAGGACGCTCTCTACTCAACTCTGCTGCTCCAACCTCGAGCTTCTTCTAAACATTATCGCGTATTTGTAAATTAGTAAACATTTTAAGACACTATGAACAGGATAAAATATGAGCTCACACAACTCATCCTCAACAACAAAGTAAACGTAGGACCACAAAGTTTTAATCAGAAGATAGTTCTGCGACGTGAGTTGAGAGGATGGGGTGTTTTAGATTTATCTAATTCCGGTTGCAATTTCAAGAATGCATTACTAAAAAGTGTAAACCGATGGTTTACGGGGAAAAAATTGGACATCAAGTGGGGAACGACTTTGCACCTTTTTTAATGCATTATACCAAAAAAAATATATATATTTTCGCCTGCCTACTATTATAAAAACAAGAGATATTACATATATTTAAAACTCAAAAGTTAAGTTTACCTGTTTTAACAAAGTTGAGTAAAGTATTCCACCAGCCCCCAGTACTCCTACAGCACCCAAACCATATTTTCCGATTTTTCTTGCGTTTCCAGCCATTCTGTAAACAATAATATTACAAGTTAATATTTAATTTCGAAGAAAATCGCAAGTAAAATAATATTTCAGAAATCAAGAAATATCATTGGGATAAAAAAAGAGACAAACGATTCCAAAGATCTAGAGCGCTTTTACTTTTAAATCTGATAAAATATTGAAATGATATCGTAGCTTTTCTTATCCATTGTGAATAAATCGTTGTAATTTTCTTTCTTAACACATAGACTTTTATATCTCCGCCATGTTAAGAGGATAATTTAATTAATATCGTCAGGGGCGTAAAAAGGGGGTTATTGGGGACTCTTACTTGGGGATCAGTATTCTCACTTAAAAAAATGATCTTTATTGGCAAAATATTTCGTTAAAACATTTTGGCACTTTGCGTAATGCGTAATGTATCAATAATAATAATATTTTCCACTTAAACAGAATAGCTTGTAGATGACTTCATAAGAAACTATTTATCGTAAATGCTATTTAAATTAAAATTCACTTAGTTTACGTTTACAGAGCCCTTTAGATTTTAGACATCAAGATTATATCTAAATAATGAACTAGAATCTACCTGATTTTTAGTCTAATATTTTTCCGGCAACCAAGCTTTCATCTGAAACAGAAATATACAAGAAAACTGAACACACAAAAAAAAAACATCATTTAATCAATTTGGTTCAAGTTTGACATGAGAAAATATGCTCAAGAGGCGAACCATTTATTTTATTATCAAATTCGTAAAACTGACAAAATAAGCCAAAAGCCATTAAAGTACTTTAATTTGTTAAGATGAAGATTTGATATTGTCTCTTTTCTGCAAGGTTGCTTTGCCTTTGTATCATAATTATTCTAGTAAACACAACCAGTATATTTACAAATATTTCGAAACATAATATACTCATTTTTATATCATAAAATATAAACATTTCTGAACAAAAATATGAATATTACGATATTTTCTTCTAAGAATATATAAGCGTATTGTTTAATAATAAGGTACTATACTTTGTACATTCGGAGTACATAGGTTAAAACAAAATTACAATACGATACAACATGATCTAAGTATCGTTAATTCGTCCTGTTCAATTCTACTCCATCTTCCTGTTTTGAAGAAGCAGTGCTGCTCTCTTATTCATTCTAACTCCGCGGATAATATTCCTAGTCCTCTCTGTTACCTCAGCCACAGACACATTGCGTAACTCAGTGACCTTCTAAAAATATTTACATTTTTATAAATCAAGTTTTATTATTAGAATGCAAAAAGTCAACAGTCTAACAGTGCTTTTAAATATTTTAAAGATGCGGATTTGGGAGAAAAAAATTGCGGATTTTATAAATCTTGCATTATTTAGTTGAAATTAACTATTCAACTAACTCTTGAATTTTGCTCACAAGCTGGGGTTTCATTACTTCGCATATATATTCAAGATCAAATAATATTTTGGTTTCCCAACCTTCTTATCTCCCCAAGTCGGTAGTTTGCCAAGATGAGGTTTATATCCAAGTGGTTTAGCAAGACTGGCCTTCAGATCAAATGCCTTACGGGCCGAGGACGGAGTCTCTGTGACACTCTTGTTGGTGATATTGTGAAGAGGTTTGGATACAGGGGTCTGAGGTTGTTCAGCAGGAGTTTTAATAGGTTTCCGTTCAGTTTCTTTAGACGTAACTTTAGGTTTGGTAGCAGTCTTAACACCGACCTGGGCCCGCTCCGGTTTTTTGCTGGACACAACAGCGGTAGCAGCGGAAAACTTAAACGGAGCCTTATCTCCGGGAGTACTGGAACCAAAGTTGAGGTTCATCTTGGACGTGGAGGTAACAGCGGGAACAAACTTGGAGACAGGAGTTCTACTTTTCATCTTATTCATGATCTTGCTGTGCTCCTCAGCCAGGGTTTTTGCCTTGTTCATCTGCACCATGGTCATTTCAGTTCTCTTCTTCTTTTTGTCCAGGTATGTGTCCAGAGACTCCATCTTCATGAACTCTCGTTCATGCATCTTTGCGAAATCTGGAACTTTTCGGGCAAACTTGACAAAGCGAGGGATATTGGTCGCCATTGGGATCTTCTTTCCCGAATCTTTACGAATAGATTTAAGGGTTGAGGGAGTAGAAACCTTTCTTGAAGCTCCAGGTGTACACAGAGACTTCCGTCCTGTCGGTTTTCTAGCGCTAGATACTCTGGGAGTGTTCTTCCCTACACTAGCTCCGGGTCTGATTGGAACAGAGAGTGTTATAGGTCCGGAGGACGAGTCTCTTGGTTTAGGAGAGTTCATTATCTCGACAAAACGAGAAGATGTTGTCAAGGTTTCAACGGAAAGTCTTGTCGACTTTCTTCTCTCTGGTTCCGGAGTTAGTTTGTCGAAAGTTCGGTTTAACTCGTTAGACTCCTCCGGAGTATCTTCTACTTCAAATGTAGTGTTGAGAACGTTCTTGGTTACGTCCTTGTTTTCGCATTTCGAAGGTTCAGTCTTGCTCGGGGCATTCTCCTGGTAGGAATCTTCACCCGAGTCATTGGCTGCGTTCTCCTGGAGCGCTTTAATCAGCTCAGCCTTGGGTAGGTTCGCCTTGACTCCGGCAGTTTTGGCCAGTTTCTGCAGATCCCTGTAATTCATCTTGTCGAACCCGTCTTGATCCATCCTGGATGCCTTTCTCTGAACTAGTTTTATCTGAAAAAAAATATTATGAATTTAAAAAATTAAAGGTTTAACAAAAACCCCAACATTGACCATATAGTCATTAGCCTAAAAATCTAAACATTCATGTACAATTTTTTTATGAGGGGGCCGGGCGTCTCTATATATATACTTTGCTTGTCTAGCTGTCTGTATCTAATAAATGTCAAAGCGGATGAACCTGACAGGTCCGCATTTATTTATGGCAACTCAAAATTTGCAATTGACAACGGACTAACTACGGACCGTTAAAGTAGGAAATTTAACGCGAATAAAATGCAAATTTAATTTAAATTTTTGGCCAGAATTTTTGATTATAGCCTGTCCTAGCCTCAGCGCTCGGCCCAGAGATTGTCTTAATCTAACCTAACCCGGTAATTTCCTAGTATACGATTTTTGACCCCAACCCCCACCCCCCCCTCCTTTCAATTTTGTACATGGATCTCTTATGTAAGACATGGATATAATTGACCATGTAGCCGCAGTGCCCGGCCCCCTATCCTGTCCTAGTCGCGGCGCTTGGCCCCAAGCCTGTCCTAGCCACAGCACTCGGTCCCCTAACCTGTCNGGGGGTCCAAAATTCGTATACTAGGAAATTACCCGATTGAATATTCAAATTTAAGCTAAAATCAATAATAATGGTTTAAGCTCCAAAATCTCACTTCAAAACATTTTATAAATAAATTTCAGGTTTTGGAGCGCTGATAGGATTGCCCCGTAACTTTCCACACTTCCATTTAAATATCAAATTCAAACGGAAACTATAATTGGTTTAGATAAAATTAAGGAATTTTTAACATTTTTTAATAAAGAGTCCCTACTTTTACCTTTTTCTTTTTTTGTCTGATTTTTGGAAGAAAATTAAAGAAAATGTTATTCGTACTTTTAGATTAGGACATGAACGAAGACGACAGAATTTTTAAGACGGTACCCTCTCATCGAACCTAGCTAGAGCAAACGAACCTATGGATTTTCCAACCTAACGTTTTTCTCACCTAAGGTTTTTCCGACCTAAAAATCTGTGGTTCGATTAGCGAAATGTCCTAAACTTACCTTAATATATTTAGGTAGATTATGAATATATTTTAGCTCGGTTAATTGCAACAATTTTAGGTAGCTGCAGTATGGGAATACATCTTCATGCGCGGTCGAAGGCATCAATTTTAGGCCGCGGATGAGCAATATTTTTAGGTCGAATGAGCAATATTTTCGGTGCTATCTCATTTGAACTACTGCCGTTTGAACTATTGTTCATTTGAACTATTGTTCATTTCAACTACTGCACGTGGACCACGTGAGTAGTTGAAATGAACAATAGTTCAAACGAGTAAATATATTGCTCATTTGAACTATTTTTTAGTTCATTAGAACTATTTTCATTTGAACTATTAAAATATTATTAATGAAATAAACAAAAAATAGTTCAAATGAACATAAAAATAGTTCAAATGAGCAAAAAAATAGTTCAAATGAACAAAAAAATAGTTTAAATGGGCAAAAAAATAGTTCAAATGAACAAAAAAATAGTTCAAATGAATAAAAAATAGTTCAAATGAACAAAAAATAGTTCAAATGAACATAAAAATAGTTCAAATGGACAAAAAAATAGTTCAAATGAACAAAAAAATAGTTCAAATGAACAAAAAAATAGTTCAAATGAACATAAAAATAGTTCAAATGAACAAAAAAATAGTTCAAATGGACAAAAAAAATAGTTCAAATGAACAAAAAAAATAGTTTAAATGGGCAAAAAAAATAGTTCAAATGAGCAAAAAAAATAGTTCAAATGAACAAAAAAATAGTTTAAATGGGCAAAAAAAATAGTTCAAATGAATAAAAAAAATAGTTCAAATGAACATAAAAATAGTTCAAATGAACATAAAAATAGTTCAAATGGACATAAAAATAGTTCAAATGAACAAAAAAAATAGTTCAAATGAACAT